TGGATATTCAGACATCGATAAGAAGAATTTTATAGTGATAAATGCTTTATAAATAAATTTATTTTTAATTACCAGGCGCTGCAATGACTAATAATGGTTTAAATCAGAGATGCTTAAAAAAAAAATAGGTCGCTACAAGCTAAGCTACAAGAACAATATTCGCCTTTTTTTTATTCGCTTGCTAACAGCAACTCTGAATGGTGTGATGTCCTTCCTGTTATGTCGATTTATTCCACATATTTGTCAATTTAAGTTTTGTTTTACTAGGCAAAGCGCAATATTACAGTTTTTGTATAGGAATTTATCCTAAAATAGACACAAAGTCACGCTTCCTATTTACGCACATCTGAATACACTGAATCTAATTTACTGTTTATGCTGATTCAGCTATGATCACTATAGTCAAGCTGCACACAGTATTCTTTGTTTTCTTAATGAACAATGTTGCGCTTATGACTGCTCTTATAGAAATCAACTTAGATAATGCAAACACCACCACTAGGGTGCCATTAAGGTATACGGGCAATTTTTTTTTTGTAAAATCGGTTGACGGCACCCCCCAGATTGGTTCATTTTGCTAAAAAAATAATCCGTGTAAAATTTTAGTTCAATTGGATAAGTGGAAATGGTGCCCCAAAAGCCTCAAAGATTGGAAGATAACGATTTTTTCCATAAAATTCATCTTTGATTGCTTATATCTCCGACATATTTAATTATACATAAAAACTGTCTTCCTAAAAGTTATAGATCTATTAAAAATAAAGTATTCACTCGTATAAAGTTTTTCTGTATTTCTAATAGTTATTGAATAAAACAAAAAATAAGTTGAAGTCACCCGATTGCTAGCTTTGAAAGTACTATGAATGTAATTGTTCGCTTCAGCTTTACAAAAAATTTATTATTTCTAAAAAATTAAAAATAAATTCAATTTTTCCAAAATTTAATCTTTCTAATAATAAAAAAGTACTAATTCTAGGTTTGTCCGACATAATTTTTATAATTTTAGTTAAAGTTGCTGGAGCAAAGTATCCTTATTACAACTTGGAAAACGACGGCGGTAATCGATAACAATTTTAATATGTACTGTTTTCTATTCTCCTTTTTTGTTAAAATTGAATTATAGTCCAGCATTAGTTTTACTCCTCGCTCTGCCGTATCGTTTACTACTTTCAAGCTTAAAAGCGTTTTCTTAGCTTGAATAAACGTAAGGTCTTCATGCCATTTTGTGGGACATATTTTCATGAAGTCATCGCATAACTTGAAACGATTACAAATGTTTTTAGTATGTTTGTATACAAACTGTTCAATTCCGTTTTCGACGATTTCAGTTATTTTTGCGGGATCTATTAATACTCTTCTGACTTCCTTGTCATCACTATCTATATTCAAATTTGAAACCATCTTTTTCTTTGTCTCAGGTGATATATTTAAATCCAAAAAAGCAAAATGAACAAGCTTTGAGCTTAAATTCCAAATATAATTTTTTGATATTGTCTGAGAATAGAAAGAAAATTAAAATCTTGAAAATGAACTTTAACTGATGGCAAAGCATTAAACCATACTTCAACATACACTTTAGTAATAAATATACATATACCGTAAAGAACATTTTCTTCTTCTGTAGATAATTTGAACTTTTTCCTAAATAAAAATATTTTTAATACATGCATGGCTTTCGCCATCCATCTTGCATGATGTATAGCTCCAGGAGGTCGAAACTTTATTGTACAGTTCGGCTTTTCTCCTAAAAACATTAATGCAAGTTCCAGAAGTTCCCTATAATCATCTCTTGGTTGGTTATCCTTACGAATCTTATAAAGGAAACGAATATTTAAAGAAGACATCTCGGTAACACTTTTTAATGTAATCACTTTGAATTAATCAATACGATAGGATATTATAAAGTTCACTTCGCATTCCAATGAATAATACAGAAACTCACTTATGTATATAACTATAACTATACTATATAACTATACATATATATATATGTATATACTATACTTATTTTGTAGCAAATTTAGTAGACAATTCATTCATTGAACTCATTATTCAATAACTATTAGAAATACAGAAAAACTTTATATGAGTGAATACTTTATTTTTAATAGATCTATAACTTTTAGGAAGACAGTTTTTATGTATAATTAAATATGTCGGAGATATGAGCAATCAAAGATGAATTTTATGGAAAAAATCGTTATCTTCCAATCTTTGAGGCTCTTGGGGCACCATTTCCACTTATCCAATTGAACTAAAATTTCACACAGATTATTTTTTTAGTAAAATGAACCGATCTGGGGGGTGCCGCGGGCAATTTTCCGACATTCGAAAATTAATGGCACCCTAACCACCACACTTATCTAAAGAATGCAAATCTCAGCATAGTTAGTTTGGTTTGGTTAGCTTTTGTTGGGCACTTTAAATTTAGTTCTAGTCAACCCATAAAAAAAGTTGGTCTTATTTTTTTATTAGAACTCTGTGTATAACATGCCTTTTCGTTCATTAATTGATACAATGTTCCAGTGTATACAATATGTTGCGTTTTCCTGTGTTATGCTCCACATACTTGTGACTTTTATTAGAACCGTTTGAACTACAGTATAGTTAGTTCCTGTTTGATTTTGTAATGATTTCTTTACATAAGTCCTGGCATTGTCTCTTTCATAACTGGCATTGCAAATAATTTGAATAGAAAAGATTATATTTGTAATACTTAATTACAATTAGTCATAAAATAGAGACGGATATTTTAAATAAAATTAATGACTGGGACATTCATATTTTCCAATGATGAAAATCTGCGCCGATACCTAATATTTAATATTAACATGAAACATAATGTATTTCATAACATATTATTATTTATAGCTACCAGTATGTTACATACTGCTAACCAACAATGAAAACAATTCACTGATGTTTAAAAGAACTCGTCTTTTACGAGGCCATGCAATGTACATATTGCATTTAACTTCACGAGAATGCATTGTTTTGTACACATAATTCACATTTTGAATATTTTCAAGGAGATATCTGATTCAAGTTTACTAAAAATGTCTAGGTAAAATATATTTTTATAACCGGCTGTATAACATATATTTATACTTTTCAAATTATTGAAATTCAAAACCTTAAACATCTCTCCATATAAAATAAAATACATAATATATATAATATATCTGCAATGGATAAGTTAAATGATTTCATCAATGTAATTTCCAGTGTGATAGTCATACATTAAATGTACAGATTACTTGAAAATTTTAAAGACTTCTATAATCGAACATTTCAAAAGGTTTATGCATTTTCGTTAATTTTTCGAATCAGTGAAAAAACAGGCAGATTAAACTAACTTATGTATATTTATTTTTGTGCTCAAACCTTCAGCCTCTCAAAATCCGAGCTGGAGATTTGTCACAGTCATGGCTTCATAACCAAATACTGGTTACAAAGCCATGTCCACAGTATATCGCTAGACATTCCAAGGCGCTTACGTCCGGTGATTAGCCATCACTGTGTCCCGTGTATCGTTATTTAGCGCAATACTGTGGGCATGTCTTTGTGACCAGTATTTGGTTTTGAATGCATTTTGCCTTTGACAAATCTCCAGCTCGGATTTTGAGAGGCTGTAGCTTTGAGCACAAAAATTAATACAAATTACTCATTATCTTATTAAGACATATTGAAATATTACAAGTAAAAATCTGCTTGATGACGAGTGATTTAAATATTTGGCATACTATCAAAGTTATTATTGTTCCATTACAATACATATAAAAAGTTTGGAGCACAGTTTTACTATTGGTAAGATTAGGTTGGAGAGTGGCATTGAGCCCAAAGCCGATTTGAAGTCAAATAATGGCTTATTGCGATATTAATTCTAGTACACTAATCAAAATAAATTTTAATTAGGTATTATTATAAATTTAATTTTTAACAAAACTTTGCCTTTCATAAAAACAAATAATAGTAAGTATTCAATATCACTTTCTGCATATTTTCAATTAAAATTAACTCCAAATTGACACCATTTTAAAACTATTATTATAATATAAAATGCTTGAAATAGCATAGACCTATTTGAGTGTTTCTAACTCAACAAATATAAAATCAGTGAATTTGTGACATTAAAAAGCAATAAAAATATCAAAAATTTGTACGTAAATATCGACTTTTACACTGCAAAATAGTCTAGAAATAGATGTAACTGACTCTAGGGTCGTACCTTTAATATAGATGCTATTATGATACACATAATGTATAATGTGAAATGGATAATTTAACCTTTAAAATATCTAAAGAATGTTTTTAACTGCATTTCACATGATAGTAATTTCAGAAGAACTATGAATGGAACGAGGGCAGTACGCTTACAGATAAAATTAAAAATGGAGCAGCCTATCACATATTTTTGATAGAATAACATTTATTGAAGAAGTTTATAAGAGACATGTCAAGGACAAAGCACAGATTTCCTTTCTAACTATTACTTTCAGTTAAAAGTGGAGAATTTGATTATTATTGTATTACCGTAATGTACACACATGTAACCGGCAATAGTCTGGTTCCCAAAATGGAAAATTGTTCCATTTGGAGTGTGTGTGTGTATGCGCTGCAAGCGAAACCTCAAATTGCCAAACTTTTGAAATATATTTTATTACCATTACGTTTTCGTGATCAATTTATTGATAGTTTTTTTTTTATGTGATTGGATGTGCTTTGATTGGAATTATTTAAAAAAGTTTGCTTTCTGTCACCCTATAAATTAAAAATAGCATTGCATGAGGAAAAAGTAAATCACACAAATTACTAAGAGGGATATTTGCATATAGACTCGTAACTTATTGAATTGGTGTTAAGCACGAATGCAATATTTATAAATTGTTGGAGCAACATTTATGTGAACAATATTGCAAGTGTTCAATTCATTCAATGGCCTACTTCTAAAATGCCAATTACAGAGTAGCTTGGCTCGTTTAGTCTAAATCGTTCGTTCATTTGGTGAAGTTATCTATCTATTCAGCATGTCTAATCAGCTATTTTTTTTAAGTTTAGCCGATATATTTTCTGTGTACCCCACAATATTTAAAGAACTGGTTTTGCAACGAGAAAAGCCTCAACGAGTATTTTTACCAAGTGACCCTGACTGGCAAGAAAAACTCTATTACAGACTTCTTGAAATACAGAAAATAGTTAATGAAGCTGTGGAGAGTGGCAAGTAAGTCTAATATAATATGACCAGATTTGGTGTCAGATCTTCTCTCGTATAAATATCATTTATAATTTACAGCGCTAACAAAGGAAATACTAAAAATATTTTAATTGTTTTAAATAAAAGTGTGAATTATGAAATATGCAACTTAATAATTTACAAGTATTTACAGTACATACATACATATGTGTATAATCATATTAATAAAAAGAAATTATAATATATTTCACAATGTTTCTGATTAGAGCTATATGTACAGTGATAATAGTGCACATTTCATGACATAAATAATGTATTACTAGACCCATGATCTTCTTAGTTTCCAGAAGATCAGAGTAATAATATTTATAGAATTGCAAGAAGTTATACATTTCGTTATTTTTCAAAAGATATTCGGCAAAATGAAATGCATTTTGTATTTACAATATTACAGGGAATTTATATTAAATAATTTAAAAAAATTTACCTTAAGAAAAAATAAATATGTGAAAATACAATTTAAAAAAATGTAAAATAAGTTTTTTTTTGTATTTCAGCAGAAGATTTTTCTAAGTTTACAATAATATAGTGCAATTATTCAAAATCTTCAAATTTATTTACATGTAATTAATATTATTAATATCCACATCATGTTAAGGGGCAACACGTAATTTAAATAAATAACTCCAACATACATTATTTTATTCAACATTGGCATGACTTTCTCAGTATCACGTTCCCAGATTAGGTTCTATGCCTTTATAAACAGAGTAGTATTAAAGTTTAACAATTAAAAATAAAAATATAATTAATTAATTTAATTATTCTACAGCTGGTTTATGATTTCGTTCTAATATTTCATAGCAAAAGTAACAAAATTCTAGAAAAATGTGGAATTATAAAAAGTGAGGTACGGCTTTGGGTCAATTCGTTAAGTAGCGCTGACTCTGAGTTTCACATTTGGTAGGACCCGAGTTCGATTGCTGGTACTTGCAGTCTCAAAAAAAAAACTATTTACGAATAATTAAATACAAGAATTATTTCCAAGACCACTGATGATGGATATTTGGCAATACTCGAAAAAGACTGTATGGTCAGCCAAAAATTCAATTAATTAAGTAATATAAAATGATTGTTGTAGTTTGTTTGTTGTTGTAGTTCATTACTGTATATTTATTTACCTAAAGTGTTGATTTAAAGATCAATTAAGGAAACTTTGATCTAATATCACATATTACTATAACTACTAATAATAATGCTAACTTTAAGATATTTTGATTTTAGAGTTGCGGTAGCATTTATCTAATGGAGTTTTAGTCTTGGAAGAAATATGCTTTCAATTTCATATGGTTAAGACTGAATTTAAATGGTACATATTTTCAAGTTTTCTCTCTGAATTACATATAATACTTATTAACGTAACAGCGATCTTTCATTAACGATTATATTTTATTGTTACTAAGTTCAAAATAGTTGTTTCTGATGCTACTGTCCAAAAATTTTTCTTACCAGGTTTTACTTTCACTTTGAGTATCTTGTTTATTAATTTCATGTTTCTTTCATTCCATTTTCTAGGCTCAACTGTTTGTTCCAAGATATTTAATATAGTTCAGAAGTTTGGTCTATTTCTCTATTCCAACACACGTTTTTATGAAGTGCTTATTTAGATAGAAAATTTGGCAATCAATATTTATTACACTGAAACGGTTTACGTTGTAATTGTAAGATTTACAGGCGATCATCGTCCATATTTGGTTCCAAGGTTAATGAAAAGCAACTACTTCTTAATAAGAATCCCGGCATCTGTATGGCCTTGCAAACTGTTTTAAATAGCTTTCATAATATTTATATTTCATTATAGAAATATTTCTTTAATTTTAAAAATGTCATTCCTTTAAAAACGTGTTTTAAAACCAATTTATGGTGTAAATAATACTTTTAAATAGATATCCTCGTTTGTTATATTTATGAGGTTAATTTTGAATACCCACTTTTTCATTCGAGATAATAGTCTTTCCATATATATTCCATCTCAGGCACTATTTTCCGAGATGGTCATTAATTTTTGCCTATTTGCGGGTGTCGTCTAATAACATGATAAAGTTATCCGTGGTATACACTAATAAACAAGTATTTGTTTTCCCCGATGTTACCCCCTTCTTCAATATGTTCATGTTAATCGTTTAAGAAATGGAGAGTTAATGGGTATCCTTTTGGTATATCAAAGCGTATTTTAAAATATTCAGGTTAATCTGACACTATTCACCCAGCTACATTCGTTTTTCTAAAACGTTTTTAGGAAACCTCAACGATAAATAAATGTCTTTCTAAATACTTTATCAAAGAACGCGCAACTTGATATTTACATAGGATTTTATTCTTCTTAACATTTCATAAGATTATGATTTTATGAGTGCATAAAAATATACTTTTATAATTAATCGTTAAATTCACGTTTCCTTATTAGTAATTGAGAAAAGTAATCTAGAGCATAAGCAATCCTGCATGTCGACTGCATTGTAAATGTTTGCATAAACTTTTTATGAGTTCACTCAGGCGTTTGTGAAGAATTCGTAAGGGATCGAATTATGATTATTATTTAATTTAATCCCGGGGAGCATATTTTGGATTTCATCTTTTTCAATAAGAGTGCCTAGTAGAAGATGTTTTATTAATCTTATTGCGTATCTGCAGATGTTTGGGAGGAATTCGGAAGTTATCTAAATCAGCGTTAAAAATCGTTTGTAATTACTTTACACCGGGTTAAAATTTGTACATACCAAGTCCACTTCTTCTTTCAATTTTAAAAAATTTTAAATTCTGAATTTTTGTATTTTGAGAGAGATAACTTATTTTTTAATTACATTTGGCAAAGTTTCTATATTAAACGTACTATATGTACTGATTTCTATCCTTACCTCTCCATTTTAATTTTAGAAGTAATTTAATTTAATTTATAACAACATATGACATTTGAAGTTCTATTACATTATATGCAATATTATGTGATATTGCCTGCTGCTATATCGTTTACTGAGCCACACATTGCACCAATAAAAGTAAAATAACCGGCTACAACAATGGTTGTAAGACCATTTACAACTACCAAACCATTATTATCGCAGAATGCTATAATACTTTGTATTATGCTGCTTACTACTTTTTCTTGAGATCTCTGAATGTTTTGTTCATAAATAGTATTTCAATATAATCGTCTAGATCTTGGTTCAATTTCTCATTTTTACAATTGGCTTTTCCACCTCGTTTACCGCAAAAAATTGCATACGGACTGTATTGCAGTTTTTGAACAGATAAATTTTTATAGATTAAAATTGTTTCTAACAAAATGGTTATATTAAAAAAAGTTAGAAATTCAAAAATTTGGCAGGAAGTGCAAACTATTTTTTAAACCATTAAGATTGTTAGCTGGAATTTTCAGATTTGCTTGCTGTTTATTGATGCTCGTATAATCCGCGTTATTCAGTTTTGCTTTCTGAAGAGAGAGAGGACAATGTTATAGACCAATCACTTACAAAGTAGGATTTTAAATTAAAAGAAATCAAACACTATTTCAACAAATGGGTCCATTATTTATTTTTGGATAAATAATGAAATAGCATTAATTAACAATTAACAATTTCTGCTTAATATTAATTTAGCAGAAAATTTCTTAAAAATTTTAGCTTGTATCTCATGAAAGGCGCTACAGGCCTATAAATCATATTTTACTTAATTTCCATAAAAAAAAAGTTCTACAACCGATGTTCAATAAGAAAATGATGTTAAAATATATTTATAAACTGTGTTGACTGACTTTATGTTATAACGAATACCTATTGAAAAGGTTCTGTACATATAAAAAATTCTTCGTTATCCTATTTATTTCGTCACTTTTTCTAGTTATAAAAGTTAAATAAAATTGATCACGTTATTTTAAATAGAATATTGAAAATATAATATATTTGCTATGTCAATTCTCATACAAGGTTAATTCTTAAACTCTTTAGTTTTCACAATTTTCATATTAATACATTCCAATCAATTGACGGATCTCGCTAAGTCTCCCATACTTAATTTAACATTAATCTAATGTTATTTCATCTACTACATGTGTACTTCGACTTAAATGAAACTACTATTACTTCTTGTTCTGTTGTAATAATGTATACAATCCTTTATCAAATATTAAGTAAAGGTTAATTGTGAATCATGACTATTATTTAAATGATTTCCAAGTCTGAGTAGGGAATATCGTGTACAATAGATAGAAAAACTTGTCTTTAACCACTCTTAGTGACTGTTCCACTATGGATATTATATTATTATATATTATATTATATATATATTATATTATATATGTATTATATTATATATATATATATATATATATTATATTGCAAAAATATATGTTGGTAAAAATCGAAAACTATGTCTTTTTCATGGACTTTAAAACGGCGTTCGAACAAATATTAAGAACTGCGGTCTTCTACAAGCTCGGGAACTTAGGATTGTCAACAAAAATTATGGGGATTATTTGGAGCTTGTATCACGGTAGTAAAGCAGCAGTGTGGGATGGAAGTATTATTTTTGATTTTTTTCTACACAGTCTGGTATTAAGCAAGGCTGTGTTTTAAGTCGACTTTTATTTACTTTATTTTAAGATGATGTGGTCAACTTTTTAAACGGTGGCGTTATGATTGATGGTGTGCAAATTAAGGTTCCGATGTACGCAGATGATGTGAAGCTGTTTGCAGAGCTACCATGAGCGATGCAGCTAATCATAAATAGACTGAACGATTACTCAATGATATAATTAGTCAAAAATAATAATATTTAAAAAAAATTCAAGGCAACTTGCATACGATAATAAGTGGTATCTCAACGGAGAACAATTGGAATTAGTTAATTTATATAAGTATTTAACAGCACATGAAGAAGATCTTTAGGAAATGGCTCGGTATCACTTTCACAAGCATCACTTTTCGATGCTTAACATATTGAAACCCAGATTTCTTATGCCGGAGGCACAAAAACATAAAACGTATAGTTCGTATATATAGTAATTATAATATATATACGATAATAATATAATAATATACGATAATAATAGTATAATAAGTTAAAAAATGCTCTAAGCTAGGGCTGTCCAGTCCAGAGAAGATCGCGGGACAGTACAAATAACTGAATAGGTTAGAGGGCCACAGATCTTAATATGGACTTAATATTTTTGTCATCACTATCTTTGATTTTTAAAGGTTTAACGAAACTTTGTACTTTTTGCAGAAATTAAATTTGTTCAATTGAGCTTCAAAAACATGCTTTAATATTGAGTTCACTAATACTGAAATGACGTATATCGAAAAGATATATGATTTGTCGCCCTCTACATATATCGAAAAGATATATGATTACATGCAACGAATTTTAGTGAAGTCAGCTGTTTTCATTTCCAGTTTTTGAGAAATCGGGCAGTTTTTGAGAAACCGTTGCTTCCAGTTACACGTTGTTTGGTTAATAATGGAAAAATTGCATGTACTAATTGGAGTTATAGAGTCTTCATAGGAAGTCTAGTTAAGTCTTTTGTAAAAAAAAAGTAAGTCGGAGAAGCCAAGAAACTTTAAATTAATTTTATAAATTATGTGAATTAACAGTAATTAAATAAAAATGAAAACATCTTCTGAATTTCAAGAATTGACATAAATAATGTTAATTGTTGGGTTCGCTGTCCTATACTAAATTATCGCACACTAGAATAAATACATCTTAATGGTTTATAATTGTTAAAACAAAGTGACATATATTGAAAATGCAATAAATCATGTAGGAGATCATTGTAGGAGATCAGATCAATTGATCTAGTCGATAGGGTGTGAAGTCCTATGTCGTTTTTATCGACACTATATCTGATCAAAAGCGGCTTAAAAATAGCTACTTTTTGAATTATTTTAAGAAATTATATAAGTTCCATATTTAATAAATGCTAAGGAAATAATAAATCATGTCGAATTCATCGTTTCATATGCACTGTTTAAAAAGTAGTATTTTTGATTTTGATTCCCATTATAATGAAAAAAAAAACTATGAATTTCGATTTTCAGAGCATTCGAGGAAGTTATGCGAAGGAAAGACAAATCTGTATTTGATTTAAATATTATAAAAATATCTCCCTCAACATCTCCAAGCGACTTCCGAAAGGAAACATCAAAAACTTGCGGTTGGTTATCGTATAAGGTAAATACTAAGCCAAAAAATTTATGGACTTTGGATATTATATCGAAAGCAGCTAAACTCTTATCGAACCCACCAGAATTAGTTGAGTTTAGAAATGAACATGAAATGAGGAAAATTTATTCGCTAATATATGACGTTTTTCGTTGTACGTATGCCAGAAATAACATTTCTGCATATCTTTGTATGCATGTACTTTTTCAGATAAAGTTGTATTAAATAATGCTTTAACAGACGTTGCATTTTATACCAATTTTCCAAAGGTAAATATGACTTCTTATATGTTTATAAATTTTTAATTTTTTCTTTAAATTTAATTTATTTTCAATCTGCTAAAAAATGCTTGAAAAACCATTATATAGATACAGTGCAACATTAAAGTTTATTATATACTGATTTTTTATTTTCCGCGTATTTAACTTCTATTTGCCGTTCAGGAGAACTCCAATCTCCTTCGTAGTTAATGAGTTGTTCGGTAAAGATACTTGGGTGACTCATGAGTTTTGCAGTGTACTTCGTGCTGTGGTTTCGAACTTCTTCCATCACTGTAGGAATATTCTGATGAATTGTTTCATTGATGACGAACTTCGTAATCTTCGTATGATTTGATGTAACTTTTTGCATCTGAGTCCCATATTTTGATTCCGTACATGCAAATCAACTTCACAATTAATTTGTATATTATATATATGTTATGTTATGTTATTATATTAGCTCATATAACACATCTTCAAACCCAGTTATTTTCTATTATTGGAGATCTACTTCTGTCACACTTGTCGGTGATCGAGATGTATTTCTAAATATTTAATATTAATATTTATAATAGGAGGGTAAATTGTCTTTTTAAGTGTAAATATAATGTGCAACGATTTGGATTCATTAGCTTTTTAATACGCCATTTCCCTATGCATTGTCTGTAGATAGTTTAAGGCAATGCTCGCATTCTCCATGCAAATAGTATTGGTCTCGATAGCAAAAGTCGACAAAAGGAAACACCAGTGCTGCATTACTCGGTTATGAGTCTAAAGCTGTTTATGTGGTCATGCAGAATTGATGTAGAAAAGAATCAGCTGATTTTCTGCACAATCTACCATCAACGGATTCAACGGAGAGTTTGAGATATTGCACACTATCACCATAAACTTAAGTCGTCAATTTAAATCAATGGTTCTCCGCGACGTTTTCATCTAGTTATTAAGCACATCCATACAACAGCATACTATCCTTCAGCAAATGGGATAGTTAATCGTTTCCATAGAACGCAGAAAACTGGTAAACGTTGCCACAACGACTGGAGCGAGCACTTCCGTTGGTACTGAACACTAGTCAGTACTCTTTCAAAAAAAGATTTCTGTGCCAATCCTATCGAAATACCATTCGGGCATCCTTTGAGAATACCAAAACAACTCTAGTTGTGAAGATTTGAGAAACTAGATGAAATATTTTGCATCTGATTATTGTGCACCACGTTGGTCTAGTTGAAATCAATTAACTTTAGCAACCACGGGTAGCACTTTCAAGCGATTTGACTGCCAGTGATGGTTAGCAGTAATGAATACATCGACTGGTTGTCTTCAAAATCTCCCTTAATTAATTAAAATGACTATCGAGGTTCAACCCCTGATTACCAAATTTCTAAACGTTTCTCCAACGGTTACACGTTAGAGGGAACTACGGTTACACGTAGTTCCCTCTAATTTTAATTGTAAGAAATCAAGTGCGTGCATTTAAAACTATAGCTTGTAAAGTGATTTAGTTATTGGTCACAACATACATTAGCTTGGTGCTTATTCATTCTCACCATCGAACGATGAACGGTTCTCTTTGGTTTTTAGAACTAATGTTGACTAAATGAATTAAATTGATTTTGGAATTAAATATTTCGCAAGAGGTAAAAATGACTAAAAACTGTCTTTTGAGGTAATTTTCAATGATTTATCGATACAAAGCTGACAATAATTTGGCCGTAGCTTGACCGAGATATGGTCAAGCTCGGATTGAGTTTGATAACCTACATAAACATGTATCCCACAAAAATCTCATATCTTTCACATCTATATATTTGATTTCTCGTCAAAGAAATTGATAATCATGTGGCTATACTAATCGGAAATGTCTCATCCTTGCCATTTTCAAAATTGTGTAAGAAAAGTTAAAACAGTCCATCTTTTAAAAAAAAACATAAAACTAGAAAAATGATTTTTGTCTGAAACAGAGCTGCCGAATCAGGATGACAAATGGGTAACCTTATATTTCTAATGAAATAATACACACATATTAGGTTTTAAATTACCTAATTGCAAATGTATTTATACGTATAACATTGTTTAGAATCTAATTAACATCTAATTATTTGAATTTGTATTGAACATGCTTCAAGTTTTTTAACGATAGAAACCGAACCTGTTTAATGCTCTATGAGCTATTGGATCGAAACTTTAAGAAACGTCCAGCTGAACAAGTTGAGTTGCAGCTTCGTCTCTATCAGGAATCGCAAGTCCAAGGTAATTTTATGTAATTATAATTGATCAATATTATTATCGTTAACGCCATTCGAAATATCTACTGATTATTATGTACCTTCTGCTCAAAAAGTACTCGGATTTTGTAAATAAAACACAAAAATTTAAATTTAATTCCAAATTTATTTTATCTCCTTCAAAATATGCTCCTTCTGAAGCGATACACATATGCCAACGCTTAACCCAATCTTCCACACACTCGAAGGCCCGTGCCGGTATGGCGAATTCTCTTTTACCGATTCAACCGATTCAACCGACTCAAAACGCTTACCACGAAGGCGCAATTTAAATTTTGAGAACAGGGAAAAGTAGCACGGCGCCAGATCTGGCGAGTATAGTGCCTGAGCGAAGACAGTGGTGCCGTGTTTCGTTAAAAAATCGCGTACAACAAGAATTTTCCAAAGTAAAAATCGCTAAATGCACTTGAGGTAGTCTCATATTAACAGCTGCTGTAAACAAATTAATTGACAAATGGTGCTCAAATTTGTACCATATATCAAGAAAGGGTGTACCAACATAACAAAAAAAATTTTTGAAAAAGGTCTATTACTTAACGAGTAGTTAACAAACAACAAAAACTTTTTGAGCAGAAGGTATGCTGTTAATTTCATATGATACTTTTATTAAAGCTCGTTGCTTTAGTAAAAGACCGTTACGCAGTCAAAGTTATAAATTTTTTGCCGAATAAACACCAAGATACAATATTAACATCCTCATATATCTTAAAGTACTATTTAAAAATAGAGACTGATTATGTCAGTAGTACTTTAGTTTTATTTCAATACTGAATTTGACTGTGTTTTTGATTGCAAATATATTTTAGAACTTGCGGATTGCTTATGGAACTCTCGTATTGCATTGTCTGCTTCAATATCGCGAATGCGTATATGACATGGAGCTCTTAAACTATCTCAACTTTTACCGATTCATTTAAGAAATGAGAAAGTAGCAAAAGCCGCATCCAATCCGATTGTCACTGGATGGATAAACCCGTTTCTTATTCGGTATTTGCATCCTTCACACATAAATCTTTTGCGTTTATCTATTATTTCTTAAATTTTTATATGTCTCAAATGAGGTAATATTTTGCGTTTCAGAAATAAAACTGCTGCAAATAAGCTTCTTGTTGATATGGGCTTTGAAGTGATACGCAATTGCAAAGATAAGCCGCTTCAAATAATGCAATGTACGTGGGATAATATCTGTCCACTTTTCATATCATGTTTTCCAGAAGATCGAGGCGACTTTACAAAATCCATGTTTATGACTAAACATCTTTTTATCATGCAGGTACGTTTTTATGTATTATTTTGATGAACTCCGCTATTTGTGTACGTAATATTAACTTCAATTTTACTACAAGTATACTATATTTGTAAGTATTAGACAGTAGATGCATCTACATAAATTATCTTTTAATTTATAATTTAGGGGACAATATAGAGAGTAAATTTAATGAAAGGAATCTCTTTTTAATGTGAAGAATATAACTAAACTTAATCAATTAATTTATTTAACTTGTACCGTACGTGGTTGTGTTACCGAATTTTTATTTTCCTACAAACTATTGAACGCATGCAAATTCATAAAGTGTGAATTAATATACCAAACTATATATATACTATAGAATATTTATATACTATACTATATACTAATTATATACTATATATATAAATTATTGATACATAATTTTAGAATATTTTGAACAAATAAAGTTTTTTTTAACATAATAAATATATAAAACTTACTTAATTTTAAATTATAAACTTTTAATTAATTTAATTAATCAAAATTAATTTAATAATTTAATTTAAATTAATTTAATATCAAAATTAAATTGGAAATTCTACCACGTGCTCTCTATTCACCAGATTTTGCTCCATTAGAATACTACTTGATCCGATCAATGCAAAGCACGCTTTCAAAACCAGCACTTTAGAAACCACGAAGAAATCAAAAAATTGCTGAATGAATGGATTGCATCAAAAAACGATACAATTCATTTTAATGAAAACCATAAATTGCCAGAAAGACGATCAAAAGTCATAGCTAACGATGGAAAATATTTTGATTAAGCAAGTTCCTTTTACAAAACGTTCTAAAAAACTATGTTAAATACCCAATATTATTCCATTAATACCATGCTGTATAAGACTGCTGGATATACGTGTGTGCCCAGGTGCAATGTTACTTCGAAAACACTTTTAAGGCCACTGTTCACACACTTGTCCTTGGCTATGTCCATTTTTGCTATCAAAGTTAAAGAAACTTGCTGGAATCATTAAAGTCTTTCGCTATTTATGGTAAACTTTATCACAAACTATAGTATGTACCAGTAGCGAGGCGTCAGCTTTTTGGCAAGGTGTTCACAATTTGATCAAAACAGAATTCCAAGTATAACGTATTCCCCCTACTCCTGAGTTTTGTCCTCTCCACAAGCAAATAGCATACAAGATCAACAAAACAATTTATTTAAATGTTCGCAGCCTGTGATCCACTGGTTTTTATTTACCATAAAGCTGTAGCTGTAGTAAAACGGCGACTTACCACAAATTTCGACATTTTTGCATCAGGTACCAAGTTCTTCATATCTGGAGTTGGTCTATTCATTTTATGAATTAAAGCCTGTTTTCCAGAAGATCGTTTAAAAAAAGATATTTGAATCAAATCTTTAATCACACATTAATTCATTTCTAAATATTATTTTTCACTTCAAATTTCTTTAATTTTTTTCTTTACTTTTACCATTTGCTAGTATAAAATTGCAATAATGACTTTGTTTTTGGTTTATTTCCAACCTCTACATAAGAGTAAGAAACTCTCATGCATTCATTTACTCATTTACTTTGTATTTACTATGCACGGTTCAATTTTTTTAATTGAACCATTTGCCCATATAAAACGGCAATCGTGACTTTGATTGTATTTGCACGCTTTGTATGAACTTCGGGTTCAGTTTAGTCGACTGAACCTCTAGTGAAATGTAAAGCGATTTTCGCTCAGTCATTTCTTTTCTCTTTTGTATTTACTTCGCATAACATTGGAGGTTCACTTTTTTTATTGAACCGATTGCACGCAGTAATTTAAGAGTTATGTTTATTTTACGTACATATTTTGCGGGACTTGTTTTGCCTTTTGTTTTTATAATTATTTGTATGTTTTGTGTTTATTCAATACTGAACATAGTCCCAATGTGAATGTTATTTCATTTGCTGCTTTGCAGCGCGGTGCAGTTTTTATTCTGAAAGTAAGTATATTTTAAGAGAAATGTATTTTCTCTTTTATTAATTATAATTAATGTTGGGTGTAACTAACATATGTATTTGTTTTGTGTTTATGTTAATATGTTTGGAAAAGCTATTATAAAAAATGTTAAGTAGGAAAATAGCGAGATTATTTACCTAATAAAAAAAAGATCTAAAAAGGAAGCTTTGTTAAGGTGATTAGTGAACACTCTGAACCATTCGACGCGTCGCCTCTGGTATGTACTATTTGGCCGTGTTATGAAAGAGTATTTTGTAGATTCATTTTAGACGACGAAATTCCGCCATCGCATAGAGCAACAGTTATGACTCTCGCTAATGTTAAAACTGCTATGATTTAATTGATCAACTACATTATTAACCACATTTTACCAGTGTAACTTTTATAATTTCACTCCGAAGTCGGAGCCCATTAGAGAATTCGCTTGGAGAAACCATTTTAAAAGTTGTAAAAAATCTCTGATATATATGTGAGATGCTGAATGTTAAGTGATTATTTTATTAGTAATAAATGTTAAATGTTTTTGAATCGTCATAACATTTATTATAGCATGCGTACACTTTGTAAATATATATAATTCCATAAATGCATATTAAGGTGCATATAAAAGAACTTTGAATGGCTAACGTACAATGTTGTGAATATGCCTATGCAGCATATTCCCATCATTGACTTTAGCCATATCCAAGCAGCCAGAATGCTGCAATATGAAACTTCACTTTAGTGAGATAATAAAGTGTATACATGCTCCTTTGCTGTGTTAGTGCTTGCCGACGTACTAACACAATTATGTAGTTGCTAGTTTTAAGGTAGAGTAAGAATAATAATTCAATAAAGAATGATACTTCAACGTAAGCGGTCGCGTCTTTATTTTGTCTTATAAAGCAAAAAACTGTTCCTACAAATTGGACTTGACAACCGAAGGACTTTCACAATTTACTCACAATACATAATAGGGTCAGATTGTAACAAATTGTAAGAAAAATATGTATCCCTCTAACCCAATTATCATCAGTTGATGTAATATGAGAATCGGAAATATTCAACAAACTATGCATGAGTGTATTTTAAGGGATGTGAAAACTGTAAACAAAAATAGAAATAGAAGCTGAAAACCGAATGATAAATAATAACAGTAGATACTTAATGAAGTTCTGAATGAATAGTAATCTAGCTAGTTATTGGAGATTGGAAAGGAGAATTCTCCTTGATAAGGGGGACATGAGTATAGACCAATAACATACCTATGTGCAGTATACTCAGATATAAGATTAAATTAAAATCCAACACCCTGAAGAGTTTCGGATCCATCTGTATACAGTTTTTACGAGTTGTCATGTAACCATGTTAGGTTAGCATTTCAATTCTCCCTTGATTGGACTTTTTTTCATAAATTTTCCTTCTTTGTTTAGATTTTAATCAATAATTTAATCAATAAAAAAACAACATCAAATAATAATAAAAGCTGAATGATTACTATCAAATACATTAAACCTATATAAAATTAAGTGAATTTAATTTTTTAATTTTATTTTAAGTATATTTTTGGTCGAGGGTTATAATTTATTTAATACTAATATCGACTTCTAATAATTGATTGTAAATTTTCAGGACAAAACTTTTTCATATGGGCCAGCAATAATGTCAAAACTGTTGGATTACTACGAATTAGATGGAGATATATTGCAAACGCATATTTCTTCCCCAAGAGCCACAGCATATCTTGCGTCACTATTTTATTCAGTTAATCGTGTAAATAATTTTTATGTATATGGAGCCGGTTCTTCCCTAAGAGAATATAGGAAATATATGGAGCAACTTAATATTTCAAATATAAGAATTTTTGCAGAATCGTTTAGTTCATTCCCATTAGAGTCGAACAGATTTGCCACAGTAGTGGGTATTTTCGCTAATCCGCCAAACTCATATTCATACATTTCTGATCCAATAGATTTAATATGTTCACGCGGAGGGGATCTGAGCATGTTGGAAGTGCTAACAGAATCAGAAATAAGTGATGAGGGCAAACACAGAGTTTCCCTAATATTAGAAGAGCAGTTGCATACTTTACAAATGGCGATGTCGAGATCTCATACGCAATTTATTTTATATCAAACACATTCAATTGTTGATTCTGAAAATCAGGACATGGCCAATTATGTGATTGATTTAATCAATAAAATAGCTTTGGAAAAGCATCAAAATGTTTATAGAGAAAAGAAACGATTGGAGGCAATAGCGGAAGCAGAAGCAGCCAATATACCCTCAGCTGCTATGACAAGTTCATCCCCAAGAAAAAGAGCTGATGATAAAACTGAAAACTCAGTAAATGGACATGTTGAATCCAAAAACGAAAGTGTAGAAAATGTCGTCGTGCCAGATATTGATAAATTTGTTTCCGACAGTATACCTGATATCTGCGCTAATCAGGATAATTGTCTCAAACAACAGTCGGGATGCTTTTTTTCTCTTATAAAAAGACAAAATATAACACAGCTAAATGCAAAATTCTTAATAAAAATGGCAGAACAGCGAGGTCTGTTTGGCAAAGTCGATAAAACCAAATCTGAAAAGAGTAAAATGAAAGTACCAGAATCTAAAATAGAAAACGTAACACAACTGGAAGAATCAACCAAAATAAAAAAAGTGAAATCCACAAATATTTTGGACGTAGTAAGTTTCAGAAATTTAATATATTTACAAAAAAATTAAATTGTATTTATTTTAGATAAATAGATTGACGCAAAATACAAACGCCAGTTATATAAGATCTAATTTAGTTAAGGCATCTCTACAAAAGTGTCCCTTGAATTTCAATTTCAAGAAAAGAGTTTGTTCCAGATATATAAATAATTCGAGAAAAAGAAAGGTATTCGGTAACTTAACTATTTATACTTTATTTCAAAATTCAATATATCTTGCTATATTTCAGATTCTAAAAACTTATAAACTTAACAAAATTAGTTGGCAATATGTTATCGAACGAATTCTTCAGAAAAAATTTACATTGTATAATAAAAATGTGATGATAAATGGAAAAAATTTAACAACAATTCCAAAGCTTAAACTTAAGTCCAGACAAAGACGCCCAATGCAACTCCAAGTCCAACATTTAGAATTATATTTGTAACTTCTGAAACCGTATCGAAACTTCAATTTTGTTAACTGATGAGTACAAAAGACATTTGAAAAGGAACAATATATGGGTAATCACACCATTTCTACTTGTAATTGCACTAAATACTAAAAACATCAACCTGATTTTAAACTTAAAGCACATTTAAACGATAGCCGGGTCCCAGAGTAGTTTTGGGAAATGAACAAGTTGATGAGCTAGCCAGAACTGCATCGAAAACTGCTTTCCAAGGCCCTCAACCTGTTTGTGGGTTGAACTAGGCCGGTACAAAACAAATTATCAAGAAGTGGGAAAATCATATGCGAGTACTGGGAAGACTTCTCAGAACTTAGGCAAAGCAACGCACTGACAAAACCGTACTTCTACAAAAACATTCTTAAATTCTCAAAATATAATTTAAGAGTAATAACGGGTTTCATAAAAGGTCATTATGGCCCGAAATATCACCTTCATTAACTACGATTATCTGCTAATTCGGAATGCAGATGATGGAATTTCTGTCATCAGAACAGATTACAAGCTCTTCTCTAGATTAAATCTGGACTTTGTTCACAAAAGTTTAAAGGGCTATGTGTAATCAATAGTGAAATTGGTACAATAGGACTCTTCTGGCCGTAATACCGGCTGTTGGACGATTTTACGTCAAAACTTTCAATAAATTTAATAAACGATTGCGAATTTCTTGAGGACGGGATGTCAAATTAACGTAAAATCGAACACAATGGCGTTCTCAATGCACATAATAATTTAATATAGAGTTTAGATTTGGAGAATATAGAGTTCTAAAGTAGGTTTAAAGCTTGATCTCGTTTTTGATCGAGCTTGAAAGCGGCTTGATCATTATGGTGAAGCACAATAATGAACATCAAACATATAGCGATGAAACGCTAAAACCATTCGAAATGGACATTTATAATTATTTTTTTAAAGGAATGAATACGAGGGCTTCATTAAAGGAATGGCTTGGGGCTTAAAACTTTTGAAAAATATTTATTAATCTCATTTTCTTGCCTATGCTGTACAATGCGAATAAAAATAAGTTATAACTTCTAAAAAATCCAAAACCATTAAACTTAATAAAATTAAATAGCCCTTTTTCAATTGGAGTAATCAGTTTGAGATCTTAAACTGTAGAACAGACTTTATATATTAATTCCAGAACGCACCAACGTGTTATAATAATATATTGAAAGAGCCACATTTTAAAATGAAGAATTAAATGTAGAACTCATATAAAAATAATAAAAATACCCATTAATGCTTTAACTACGTTTTCAGAGGTCGAGCCCAATGGATGATATGTAAAATTTTTATGTATTTGCAAATTATCGGCAGTTATATTCTTGACTAAATATCTCATTTCACTTTTGTATTTTATTATAGCAAATGCATATTACCCAAAAATTTCAGTAAAATCCGAACAATAGACTATAGGAGTATTTTAAAGAAAAGTTTACTTAAAATTATTAAATCCAAAGTTTGAATTAGGATATATAATATAATATTATAGCAATAATAACTCTAAGAACTTTAATGCAAATATCCAGCGAACCGTTCTGATAGAACTAAGTTCTTTAAAAATATTTTTTGATTAATTTATTATTACTTAATTACAAAATTTTTATATGTATACGAAATTGAAAAATAAAGTGCTACAATATTACAGAATAGCGCATAATGACTACTCTTACTGAAACATATTGCCTAATTTCCTACCAAATATATTCATTAAAATAGATGTACTCATTTCCATCAAAAAATTGCATGGGTAAGATAACGCAAGATAAATAAACTTTGTATTTTTATTAGTTTTTATTTACTTAATTTGCTAAGTATATTTCTTTTGTTCTATTATTTTTCCTGGCCATAAAAGATCTTATGATACCTCTAATTATGTCCAACAGAAAAAGAATGTCCTAGATACAAAAACTATTGTCAAATACTTCGAATAATCTCCTTCGGATATTTTTTTTCTTTGCTTTCGTAAAAATTATTGCTTGCCTTGTTGCTTTACTTGCAATAGGGCTAGTGTGACTACCTGTAATTTGATCCGTTTTAGTACTCGAAATGATTGCTGGAAGCACAATGAATTTATATATATAAATATTCAGCATTATTTTTTGTGTTCAGTACTTTAAGAGTCAAAAAAAGTATTTATCAAATATTTGATTCTGGTATTATTTTTAAAGATTTTTTATCGGGCATGTTCCTTTAAAAATATTAAACTTGTGTATTAAGTAAACTTGCTCTAGTTTTATTTCTCAGTGATTCTATTAATGAATGCGCAAATGAACATGGTTTGTTGGTTGGTTGCATTGGCAAAAAGACAGATAACCTTTTTTCCCACATAATTAGCAATTATTTTCTATTTTAATAGCATATTCCTAGTAAGAAACCCTCGAAGATTGCATTTGGAGTAAATGCGCGATAAATTCAAAAAGTCACTGACTTAACAAACCGCCCTCGTATCATTGACCTGACCACCCTCGCCGTCAGTGCGGAATTTTTCAATTTAGAAAAACAAGCGAAGCAAATGGGTCTATTGGTAAGTGAGGACAAAACAAAGTACTTTCTGTCAACAAAGAAATCTCCTGTGCGTTGTGGAACCAACGCTACTGTTCACAATCATAAGTTCGAAGTTGTGAAAGACTTTGATTATTTGTGGGAACCATCGTAAACACCAAAAATGACGTCAGCCTAGAACTCAACGAAGAGTCACTCTTGCCAACAGATGTTTCTACGAGCTAAGTAGACAATTGAGAAATAAAGCCCTCTCTCGATAAACAATAATCACGCTCTACAAATCTCTTATCATGTCTGTTCTGCTGTATGGTGCAGAAGCTTGAAGAGAAGAGGACGTCCGCATCTTCGGTGGAAGGACCAGGTGACCAACGATTAGGGAGCGCTTGATACTACCAACGGGCGATCGGGTTGACTGGAGGAGATTGATCGACGCGGTTGAAGACGACTCTCGTCTGTAATGGGCAACTAGGTAAGTATAGCAAAATTAATGCATATTTGCAGTTTTTATATAAAATCTATAGATATATATATTTTATAAAAGCGGGAGTACTGCCTAAAAACATCTCAATTTAGCAATCACAATTACAAGTTTTCATAAAAAAAGACAAAATAAATCTGCGAATCAAAACAACTATCGGCGGAGTTTCGACATTCCATTTACGCCGCACAGTGTGACTGATAGCCGAAAACCTGACCAAAACCCAAAAAAAAGTTTGCGCGCCGTCTTAACAACGAATTTTAGTAGTCAACTATTTTGAGCAACTTTTTTCACATACCGAAATAATGTCAAAATTTAAAACAAAAACAGAAACACTAAATAAATGGATCATTGAATACGTGAATTATTAATTTCTCGTTTTAAAATTGTAATGACTTATTCGTAATTTTCTTTAAGAAATTAAACTCTAAAAAAGGGAAAATATGTCGACGAACATTAAAAAGTAAATTTCAAACAAAAACAAATTTTTTAAAATAAAAACCAATTTCACTTTTCGCTAAATACCTAAATTTGAAGTTTAAATATTCAAAGCGAGTGTAAATTTATTAATATTTTCAGAAAAATAAAAATAAATATATACTCCATTATATTTGCTGTCATATTCAAAAAACTATATTTTTAATAAATTTCAAAAGCAAACCCTAAAATATTATCCAAAGAAACAAACACAGCAAAGCAATGCTAAATAGACAAGTGCATAATTATTCATAAAAATTATTGGATAGAAATATTATATATTTATATGAATATATGAATTACCTTTTATATTAATAATGTTATTCTTCGAAGGTAATTTGTCACAAAAATACACATTTTCCTTTGATATAACACATTTGTTTAAATTTGGTGGCAGCACTGCTTTTTCTGTCCATATGTTTCCGTAGTATACTTTTTGGCAACTCATTTTCTTATAGAATTGGAATCAAACCCAAAAGTTTTTATCAAAATGTTGAAATCCGAAATGCAACACCAATTTTGGATAACAAAAAAAGCAGTCCAGCGAAAGTTAGGCTCTAAGGAAGATGAACACATTATTTCTTCAGATGCAGAGCTCGATGCAAAAATAGAAATATTGAAATCAATATCTGACACAAGCTGTGAACTTAGTAAGATAATCGAACAATATCAGGAGCGCCTTTGTGTTTTATCACAAGAGGAGTGTGTATTTGGTAGATTTTTGAAAGAAGTTGGTAAACGTAGTAAGACTACAGGCGCTAGCATAACTAACACTGGTAAAGCAGTTTCATATTGCGGTCAACAACGAATGTGTGTTCGTGTCCCTCTATTAAGACTACAGCATGAAGTCGATGTTTTTCGGGTAAGAGCTGTTCGCGACACACAAATTACCATTCAAAATATGGAAAAGGAGCGAACCGAGTATCGGGCTGCACTATCGTGGATGAAATCGGCAAGCTCTGAACTAGATCCTGACACAGGTAAAGGGCTTGAGAAATTTCGAACTGCTCAGTCACATGTTCGTACAGCAAAACGAAATTTTGATAGCCTCTCTTTAGACTCAGTGCAAAAGGTAAATAATATTTTACTACTTTAATTCTCTGAATAAATTTTTTTATTCAATTTGCCTGACAAAATATTAAAACATTAAAAATTGTTATATTTTAATTGTTAGATTGATCTGTTAGCTGCTGCAAGATGTAACATGTATTCGCATGCATTGGTACGAACCGTCCTAACTCGAATATATTCCAAAAAAATAAGATAATTTTAATACATTGTCCGTAGGTATCCTATATGTCGGAACTTAAACAATTTGCACAAAAAACTGCAAGTACTTTTGAAGCGATTGCTAAGACGTTGGGCGAAAAAAAAACTAAGTATGACTTTTGTGTATTGAAGGATCTTACGCAAAACGAAGTGGAAGAATGTAATGAAAACAGAACTGATGTGGCAACTGTTGATAAGGATCAGACATTGTTCTTTGCTGTAAGTATTTATTATTCATTTAATAGATAAAAGTTAAGATATGCTGCGTTGTTGCTGTTATTAATTCTTCCAGGATGATTATATAGACGAGAGAAAAACTAATAAATGCGATGATTCGAATACAACAGAAAGTCCACAAACAGAATTAATTGAGCTTTCGCAGCAGTTGGAAAGCTTACTTTTACCAAACGATTCCCTTCAAACAAATTTATTTGATAGTTCTACATTCTGGCCTAAAGCATTTTCCAAACAATCTTCAGAGCATATATCGCTTACAAGCACAAGCTCAACCGTTACTGATACACACTCCAATGAAAACCGACAAACTTCATTAAAGAAAGATGAAAATCAAAAGGTTAAATCCAATCACTGGTTTGATCTTTTTGCTGATTTGGACCCTCTGGCAAATCCAGAAGCATTTGATTTAAAACTGAATTGTGGACGCACTAATTTTCAACAAACTTAAATTTGAAACTAAGATAATTGTAATGTCAGAATAAACAAAAATATATTTTATATGTGTATCCTTTTTAAAAATCATTTTATGTTCAAAAAAACCGAATATGTTTTATTTGAAAATCATTTCACAGCCTGTTGAGCTTCTTTTTTAGAATTAACTAGCTCTACCAATTCCTTAACTCTACGCAAACAATCCTTTTTTGTTCTGTTTGGAATACATTCTGCGATTCGATCCCAACGGTCAGGTGTAGAGGGTGGATATGATTTAATGGCTTGTTCTAAAAGCGCCTGCTCCTCTTTCGTCCAAGTTTTTGGAGCCGCTGGTTGTTTATTACTCTTCGATGCATTACTATTTGTTTCTGAATTTATACCTTTTGGTTTCTCTTTGTTCTCACATGCCGGTTCCGAATTGTTTATTGTAATATCAGAACATGTTTGGACGTCTTTCTTCATTTTTTCAAAATTTTCGAAAGCTGTTTCGTTTGCTTGGACTTTTAGTGAACTTTTAGAAAAGTCACTACTTTGCAATGCCTTGGCCTTGTTTAGGATATCGCGTGCTGTCATATTAACTCGATTCGTGCAATGCTGATTTATAAATGACGCGATCACATCCCAACGTTGTGATGTGCCAGCCGGAAATAAATTTACAGCTTTAATTAATAATTGTACATTCTCATTATTCCACAATTCTCCTTTATTTATTTCTTTTATATTGGTTTTAATATCTTTTTTTTGCTGAGATTGATTTATTTCATGTAGTTCTGCTTGTATTTTTTCTTCGGCGGAGTGAAGTGCCTTTACAAAGGATTCTTTTTCTAATGATTTATTCAAATCCTGGAGTTCGCATAAGCTGAAAGCTTCACAAATTTTTTCCACACCTTCCATATGCTTGAGCAACTCATTGTCATCTGTAGTGAAATATTTAGATTCTTTGGATTTATCTCTTAGAATTTTTCTTTCTTTTTTAAGCGCTTTTTTCATTTGCTCTTTTTCAATACGAATTTGTTCTATACGTTTTTGTTCCGCTTTTTCAGCTTGTTCTTTTATCTGAAAAAATTACATTTATAAATAAGCATATAAATGAATATCATTATAAAATAGTGGCGATATAAACTATATTTTTAAAAATTGACAGTATTATATAAATAATTGGTCTGTTCCACGAGCTACTCGTAGTAAAATCAAATTAAAATACAAGTAAAGTACAAACTGAGAGCATAACACAAATAAAGTGCCATATTACGCTTTTTACACATATTTTCATGGAACAGCTTTGTGTAAAATCTGATGAGAACATTAGTGCCGCGCAAATAAACAATACAAAAATTTAAATTCAAACCAAAACAGTTGATTCACACATCACACAAATTTTACTTGAAATAAAATGTACGAGTAAAGTCTGTGTAGCATTTTTAAATTTCGACAGGGATGTTAGTCTCTCTGAGATGCTCTAATTTACTCGAATATTTGCTGGTGGAACGCAATTGTGTATACACGGTGTTACTCAAAGATACTACGAGTGGCTCGTGGAACAGTCCTAATTTAAATATATTACTTTAAGTAGTGCATGCCTGTGGTTTTACTAAAGAGAAATATTAACATACTTTTTTAACAACATATAATTACAAAATCCAATAGATAATATTTAAACATTATTTTATCATTATTTATTGTAAATATTAAAAAACCTTAACTCCCCTCATCTGTCAAAAAAATTATCATATGCACTTTTGCTAGTAGACTAGGTGCACATTCAATAAAAAAAAAAATATATGCACACTTATCCTCAAAGATAACCGTCACTTGAGTTCATTCTTATACAAGGAATATACAAATATATTTCAAATAATTTTCTTACCAATTGGGCCTCTCTTAAAGCTCGTTCCTGTTCTGCTTTTTGCGCTTGAACAGCATCCATTTTAGCGCGTTTAGCAGCCAATTTTTTTTCCTTTTCCTCATTTTTGAATTTCAATATTCTTTTATCGTTGTTATACGCTAAATCAACAAGGGACCGTATCCTCACCATTTCTTCCTTTTTACGTTTTATTCGTGCAGCTTTGTTCTCTTTCTCTATCCATCGTCTTTCATCACGATCTTGTCCTTTTTCCTTATCTTCTTCATCTAGGTAACTAAATTCCCGCCAAGACTTGAAATCATACCAAAAATTATAAAATTGATCAACATCTTCACGATTCGAATTTTCATCACCGAAAGAAGGCACATTTTTTTTTTCGCTCCAACGTGCATTGAGTTTAAAATATTTGTTAAAAATTACATAGAACTTGTTGTCGATATCTAGCTGTGAAGGCACTGCATCATCGAATTCTGGGTCAACTGAATCATATGACCGCCTTGATTTTGTACTTCCTGTAATATTTAAAATTTTCTTTTATAATAAACGGAATGATATATATCAGTTACCTAATGTTTCGTAAGCTTTCGTAATGCATGTAAAATAGTCGTCATCAGTTTTAACTTCTTCACCTTTTGCTTTACGTTTATCTGGATGATGCTGTAAAACCATATGTCGATACGCTCTTCTTATGTCTTCTTCGCTTGCGTCAAACCTACAGAGCAAATAGTTAACATAAAATATTTTTATAATTTAAAAAATTAATTCACCTTAATTTTTCTAAACCTAGCACTGCGTAATGATCTTGTTCCTTCCATTCTTTTGGATTTAGGGATTTCAGGTAATCAATATTTACAATGAATTTTTCCCTCAATTCATCATTTAACTCACTTCCAGAAATTTGATCCAAGTGATTACTTTTTTTTTTTGAATTAAAATATGCTAATCCAACACGCTCAATTAATCTCTCCGACAGAGGTAAATTGCAGGCAATAGTAACAGAACTCATATTGCTTCTATTTTGACTTTTTAATATTTTTTAGCATAGACGACACTTCAAATCATTTCCCACGTGAAAGCAGTACGCAGAACTGTGGAATGGGAACACATATCATGACACATATTTCAGAAATTGACAATCTAAATTCAACTTTTACGTAAAGTAAAAAACTAATTCTACCTTTAAGTATTTTAACTTTTTTTTTGAATTTAAAAATCTACCCCAAAGGTAGATTGTAGATAGATCTTTATTGTCACATGAAAATAATTTTTACAATTTAATAACTAGATTTATTTTATATTTCCTGATGGTGTAATTGTGAATGTATTAAATAACCTTGTAACCAAAGAACATAAAGTAGGAACAAAAACTTTAATTTCTTAAAAAAAATTTATAAAAAATAGAGATATGTACAGCACGTAAGGCCAGTTATATAATAGTACGTTTCCAATACGTACTTAGTAAGTTTCATTTAGTGAGTAAATTGCATTAATCATACAAAGAGCTTACGTGCTTTTTCATTTACTATAAAATATAGTAAAAAAAATATATAGTAAACAAAATTCTACCAAAATTATACCAAATATGACGAATGCAACATTGGAAATTATCGAAATTTGACATATATGACACATGAAACAATATGTAAACAAACATTCAAACAAAAAACAAAAATGTTTTTTTTTATAAATAAAATATATATTTAAGACATAAAAATAAGGTTATTTATCAAATATATATTTGATTTAATTATAAAATTTCATATACTATTTAAAAAAAAATATATTTTTCCGGTTAACATCAGGAAAGCAATACTTGAGATCTCAAAAGTTTGATTTATAAATTTAAAATTGTGTTTAATGTAAAACGAAAAAAAATCACCCGAAATGCGTGTGGAACCATAAAACTATGGGAGAAAAATCTTTTTCGATAAAAAAGGTGAAACAGGCTTTATGGTAACCGCGTCCGAAATACAAACGAAAGTGCAATTCATCTAACATTTTAGGTAAGTGTTCAATAAGTGAAATTTTTATCATATCATTATTTTTTTGTATTTAAAACCACATAATCTTTTACGATTAATATTTGATGTTTTATTTAAAAGTTAATGTTATGTTAATTTTTCTTTTTTATTTTGAAACAGAAAGAATCAGCAATGTATTGTGATTTTTAACGGAGCCCGCGTCACGTCATCGTGGAAGTTTGTCAATAACGTGTATAGAATTTTGAAGAATTTGCCTATTGACAACAAATTCGTATTAATTTCTGATAGTCATCCTAAGCGTTACTGCCAGCGTCGTCAACATTATCATCAACATCTTTGAAGTCAAAAAAGAACACACCTACAAAGAAAAGAAAAATCTATGATAACCAACTATATTTTTTTATTTTTATTTTTAATAAATTGTAAATTATTAAAATTATAAATGTAACAATATAAATTTTTTATAAATTTTATAAATATATAAAATCCAATTGTATGAAAAATATATAAGTATATATTTTTTGTTGTTTTTATTTTTAATTTATAAGTTATTAGTGTTATTATTAGTTAAAATAAAACTTGCTGAAAATTTGAACTAAACATCGCCTTATTTCTTTTTCATTTGGATTGTGGTTATTTAGTGTTCAAACTTGTTTTGAAGCCCTCTGTTGTCTTCTCAGAACTTACGTACGGATTTCATTCTTATCTGAAATAGAAACTCAGCAAAATATTATTCTTTATTTAATAATTTTTGTTTGAAATGAAAATAATAAACCGAAATAATGTTTATTTTCGTCTATTAATTTCATTATTTTTTAAAATGAAACTATGTCCAATGTATAGACACGTATATAAAGTAAATATGTACAAGTGTATATATATATAATAAACCGAAATCGAGACAAGGTTGTGTCTTAAGCACTATATTGTTTCCACTGTTCGTTAATGACTTAAGTAAATTTCTTCCTGATGGTGTTATGATTGCCAACATCTGTCCGAAAGTACTATTATATGCTGATGATATTGTGCTGTTTGCTGATTCCCCAATAATGTTACAAAATATGATAGATTAATTAAAATGATATCCAACTTATGGGGACTATAAGCACAGACAAATCAAAAGTGAAGATATTTAAGAAACATGCTAGAAGTTTGAGAAATGACGAAAAATGGTACCTTAACGATGAGCAATTAGAAGTGGTTAAAAATTATAAATATCTAGGAATAAATATGAAATATAACGCAAAATTTGATAACCACTTGAACGAGAAGTTAAAGGAAGCTAAATTGGCTATTAATTGTAGTTGGAAAAATGTCTTGGGAAATCCGAAAGTATCACTGTCCGTAAAATACAAAGTTTTTGAAGCCACAGTTAAATCAGTTTCAAATTATGCAGCGCAAATCTGGGGTGTGGATAAATATGATGCAGTAGAAAAATTGCAGACATTTTATATAAAGAGAACATTTCGTCTGCCAAAAAATACCCCAAATTATATGGTGCATATAGAGACTGGTCTACCGACGCTATATACCCAAACATTGAAATTGCATTTTGATTATATTAATCGTGTAAGAAATTTGCCAGGCAATAGATTTCAAAAAACATAAGCGCAGTAATCCCAGCAGGCGCCGGGAAAATGTTTAAGTGAAAGACAACTGCAGAAAAACGTGGACGGCTAATTTACAGCCACATCTCCGAGTGATTGTAACATGATTGGTAAGACCCAATCGGGGCCAGGACTTTTGAACGGGGAGGAGTCCATTTGATCCTTCTTGAGATACCACTGGCTGTATAGTTTCATCAAAGTACACTAAAAGATACGGTGGTATTTTCGGGGGACCCACGGAAAAACTAAGGAAATGGGTATCTACTTATTGTGAGAGGGATTCAGTTGTTTTAACCGGACATCCATCTGCTTTATTAATTAGCGAGGGGCAAGTATGGCCATTTGCAAACAGTTTGGCTAATATGATTGATTCTTTAATAATTTTAATTTTCTCCGACATTCCTTTAATAATGATAATTTTCAGAAAGGCTTACCCTATCCTTTAACACAAAAAAAGATAATATACATGACACATGAACTATAAACCCAGAGCTCTTGGATGATGCCAAGGTCAAAGCCCTTCTCTGAGTACGACAACCAGATTATTCATGGCCCATTTGGAGTGTTTAAGGTTTATCTGCATGAGCTTGGCCATTATTTCATCAACAGATTTTTGTTGTTGATGATAAGGTCTTAACACTAACTTCACATTCTTCATTCTGTCCTTGCGCTGTTATTGGAATCGAGGACGACATCGGCATCTGATTTCAATAGTTGGACGAAAGAAGCGAACCCATAGCAGCATAGCAGCGTCCCATATTATCGCTAAACCACACTTACTCCCCAAGACTGTCATGTATTGAAGAGAATCCGTAAAAATACACTCGAAGAGACCCCTTAACACTCTCGGGTTATGGGGACCTTCATACTATGATCAAAAAGCAATGAGTAATGCATAGCTATTATGAAGCTAAGGACACTAATTCAATTCTTCCTGATCCTAGCCGGGCACCGCTCTGACAACGTACAGGACAAGCATGCTGCGTGACCCATGGGCGGCACTCACGTGGAGGGTTCAGTAGAACAATTTTTGGTGCCATTACAGTTCATTTGTAACACAAAAAATATCTTCTTACAAAACTTTTTTCTTTTTAGCCTTAATAATACGGCGAAAAATCTCTAATTATAGGCAGCAGAAAGATAACTCATGACACCTGCCACTGCAACTAATCGCCAACCATATGACCAAAACATTTATTTATGCAATAAATATACTGATAAGCGCGCTTGATCCCTCTCGCTACCAATCTCTTGGTACTAGCCAGTAGCGAGGCGTCAGCTTTTTGGCAAGGTGGTCACAATTTGATCAAAACAGAATTCCAACTATAACGTATTCCCCCTACTCCTGAGTTTTGTCCTTTCCACAAGCAAATAGCATACAAGATCAACAAAACAATTTATTTAAATGTTCGCAGCCTGTGATCCACTGGTTTTTATTTACCATAAAGCTGTAGCTGTAGTAAAACGGCGACTTACCACAGATTTCGACATTTTTACATCAGGTACCAAATTCTTCATATCTGGAGTTGGTGTTTTCATTTTATGAATTAAAACCTTTTCTTCAGCAGATTGTTTAAAAAAAGATATTTGAATCAAATCTTTAATTACACATTTATCCATTTCTAAATATTATTTTTCACTTCAAATTTCATTAATTTTTTTCTTTACTTTTACCATTTGCTAGTATAAAATTGCAATAATGGCTTTGTTTTTGGTTTATTTCCAACCTCTACATAAGAGTAAGAAACTCCCATGCATTCATTTACTCATTTACTTTGTATTTACTATGAGCGGTTCAATTTTTTTAATTGAACCATTTGCCCATATAAAACGGCAACCGTGACTTTGATTGTATTTGCACGCTTTGTATGAACTTGTGGCAGTTTTTATTCTGAACCTTAGTATATTTTAAGAGAAATGTATTTTCTCTTTTATTAATTATAAGTAAAATTGGGTGTAACTAACATATGTATGTGTTTTGTGTTTATGTTAATATGTTTGGAAAAGCTATTATAAAAAATGTTAAGTAACAAAATAGCGAAATTATTTTCCTAATAAAAAAAGGTCTAAAAAGGAGGCTTTGTTAAGGTGTTCAGTGAACACTCTGAACCATTCGATGCCTCACCTCTGGTACTTGCTTATATTTTCGGTACTCAACAGGGTTCATCACAGAACTGAACTCTGCATTAATGGTGCTCTGTGGACTACACCGTCCATTACGTTAGATTTAATGCTTCATTTAATACCACTTGACATTAGATTCAAAGCCACCTCACAATGTTAGGTTAGTGACTATGAGCTCGTCTCCATATTTGATCTTTTCAGCCCAACTCCAAACAACATTCACTACATCCTTCCCATTCTCAATTTCGCTAGAAAATTCAATGTCGAATTCCTATCTAGAGATATGTGGTTGTAAGGAAGTCCCCGGAACACTTAATGAATCTTAGATCTAAATTTTTTAATAAAAGATGGAAAGGCTCAACTCAGACTCAAGACTCAGTATGTATGCATCTGTATGCAATTTGGACATGTTCTATTAAAATAAAATCCAATACTCTCATTGAGATGCCCCGTAGAAATATTTGTGTTGTGGTAGGTTTACTCACAGGTCATTGCAATTGCAATTTAAGAAACCATGTTTGAATGATTTTATTCATCAATGCATAAAAATGCAAACTTAGAAAGATTTTTTGGCGAAAAAGGCAACATTCCATTATATTCTGAATAGTATTTCATCTAAAATTATCAAGGATTTTGACTTTCGAGAGAGCATTTCTCCAAACGAGAAATTAATTGATATAATGTGGTAAGTGCTTACAATACAATACTGTACGTAACAAATTTGTAACAATTTAATTATAGTTTACTATTACTTTTTTAATATTCCATTATTTAATTATAGCAAATTTTCATTTTAAATAAATTAACAGGCTATAATATTTTTCTTTAATTATTAATTAAATTAAATTAATTTAATTGATTAGTTTTTTTAATTGTTTATTAAGAATATATTCACAATAATAATAATTAAAATTCTCATAAAGCAGGCCTCATGAAGCAGGCAACGAATTTGCATTTAAGATTTACGTAAATTTTTGGCATGTTTTTTGCACAATGGTTTTATTATAGTATATCACAACGTTTACTCGAACCTTAAAAGTTGTTTTAAAATCTTAAGATCATTTAAATGTTCGAAAAATTTTAAGATCACGTAAACACCATAAACTGAATTTAGCTTGAAAGCATTTTTAGCTTACTTAAAGTAGTTTAACGTCACTTTTAAAGAGAAATGTCACTTTTAAGCATTGCGTAAAAGCAGTTTAAGGTTTGAATTGTCAGCTGTTAACAGTAAGTAGGTACAAATAATTTGAGTTTGAATTTTATTACAAATAACACTTTGTCAACAGTATAATAACCAAATAACTAAAAATATGGAGAAAAAATGGGAAATAAAAAGAAAAAATTAGATGAAAGAGGAGGAAGAATGTTTAACTAAAATATTTGCGGAAAAATAAATAATTAAATTGTTCGACAGCAAAAAATATATAAAGGACACAATTTGTGAAATAGTTCGCAAAGAAATAGAAGTCGGTGGCTGGTACAGAATTGTACACTAAATAAAACAAAAGTGTCAGGTATTAAAAAGGCAACACGCTGAAAAATAGTGGTAACAGTTGCATGGAATACCATCTAACATCAGTTCTTGAAAATAGCGGGTGTGATACTCTTGATATTGAGAATAGCATTGAACACGTAAATGGTAATTTATGATACAAGTAAATATCTTGTTATCGAAGTTTAATTTTTTTAATTGCAGACAAATGGAATGAAGAACATTTGTATGACAACACAGATGAGTAAAATTCTAACTTTGAATTTGATTCTGTAAGCATAGTTGATTTGCCTTCGACGTCCGCATTTTTGAATGAAAAAGATTGTAGTGCTGAAAATATAAATAATGCAGATGAAATGAATTCGGATTTGATGTCATTTTTGGTACTTGCAGAATATTTTTTCAATTTATAGAAGCAACAAGAAATGGAAAATCATTCAGCGAAAGGAGAACCAATCAACAAATGATGATAATTAAATTTATAATTTACTTTTAATTTAATTTTTAAACATAATTTTAAATTTTAAATATAAAAGGCCTTTTCTTTTGTAAGCATATCACAAAAGAATAAATGCTTATTTTAATAATGACATATGAAACAACAACACTGCTGGCTTATTTTGTCCAATCTTTCTAAAACTGCTTAACTAATAAGCAGCCCAATAAGCATGATTGCCAACACAGAAAATTCATCTATTGTGAAAGACTTTTGCAAGTACCTAAGAAAGTCCCAGTTAACTGTCAAGGAATAAATTCGTTAATTATTTGTATTTCAAGGTATTCTTTGGTTCGTACTGTGTAATAATGTACTATGATGAACTTTTCAAGTTAAAATCAACTTTATTTTGCAGAAATTACGATGATATAGAAATCAGTTGTTAAAATTTTCAAACCATTATTTTTGGTTTTAATTTATTTAGCTTACGAAATCAAGAATAATTCGAAATGACAACGAAAATTATAATTAAAACTGTCGTGTGAATGCAGTATTAGTAAATTTGTTTTTAAAATACTTATATTGTGAATGAATGTAACAATTGCTTCAAATTAATCGATATATTTTGTATAAAATTGGATATGAAACTCATGCTGTATTTTTCATCTCCAATATTTGCAAATATATCGAGACTGCAAAGAGGTCGCGTTGTTAGTAGACATTGTTTGGATTTGATTTAAAGTTGCAAAATTTATAAAAAGAATATATAAAAAATTCTCGTTGGATTTGTTATAATGGATTTCTATAGTCCCGGATATTTAATAAGCAGTGATGAATACAGCAACGATGAAGACGATTTAATGGATGCGGCTATAAGTTCGCAAAATACTTCAAAATCTGAGGCACATACTGAGTCAAATAGTTACAAAAAAAAGTTTAATGCAAAAAGAATGAAAGATGCCAGAAAGTGCGTTAATTGGCACAAAAAATGGTTTGTAATATATTTTCGATTATAATTATTTTTTTAATAATAATTAATTTTCATTAGGTTAATAAATACAAAAAATCGTGCAAAATACCGACCAAAGCTAATCGAATTAATAAAAATATTAAAGAATAACAAGCCATTGCAGTCGCCTGAAATTCAAACTAGCAGTTTATCAATATTTCCAAATAATTTTGATGTGCCGAAGAGCACAATCAGATTCAATGATAAAGAAGCAGTAGTTGATCTTTTAGAAGAGGAAGTAATGAATGGAAATGATTCAGAGAATGTGAAGCGTAGCGACATTGTTATTAGTAGCGTTATAAGTTTGGAAAATGAGAACGATTCTATTATCAAAACATCGAAAATCCCAGATAAGGTGGAAGATATAACCAATCATGAGGTTATGCAGCCAGCTCAAAGCAATGATATTAAATTAACCTATATAAAACCAAAAGTTGGTGACATAAAAACGGTAAAAAATAATTATATTGAATTTAATGTTTTCAGTTTTGTTCATATATATTACATTTTTTAGAACAACATAAAATCAAAAATATCACATAACCACAGCGTTTCAAATGCTAATGTGCAAAGTTCTAAAAAGCGTTTACGATCCATTTCTCCACCAGATAATAGAAATTTAAATGAAGATAAAAAAATTAACTCACACAATAAATTCTACAGTGAAATTAATGAAATGTTTGCACCAAGAGATCAGTCACTTAAAACTCATATAAATAATATGCATTCAAATGGCGAAAATATAGATGCTCATATAAATCGTTTAGCTTCCGAGATAGATACAATAAATGAATTAATTGAGACAAGAGAAAATGAAATTCAGAAACTTTTTTACTTTAAAAAAATTAAGGAAGAAATTATGTGTCGACTTGAAAGAGGAAAACAAATAAATTCTATGAAAGAAAAATCTCTAAATACAAAATCTTGTACATTAACGGATTTAAAGGAAATAGAACAGTTTTTATTTTCTTCAAACACAAGCTCTGCTGAAAAAACAAAGCCTACATCAACGAAAGATTTAGTTGAAAATATTGCAAACATGGGAACAGTTGAATTGGAAAAGGAACGACCTAACACCAGTAGGTTGTACAGGTAACTTCTATTTCAAATTTGAAGTGAATTTATATCTTAACATAATTGTTTTTTTTTAAATATATAATAGTATACTTCTATCGAAAAATATATTGCCTAGGGCTCAAAATGCAAACTATAGTAACGCAAGTACTAAAGTGGAAAATATTCCAACACTGTTGAGAAGTTCAGAACAGTTTGAAAATCAACAGTATTTAGAATTACGACCAAAACCGAATATGGGACGGCAGGGACCTTTTCGCGATGTCAAAAGCCTAATTGCTGAGTATCAAAACCAGAATCTAAACAAACCACAAACTGGAAAGAGATTTAAATATCACGATTTTGCCGATAGTGTAGGTTTAATTTAATTCCTAAATATTTCAAAACTAATTCTTTTTGTACATTTTTTTAGATGCCAACACATAATGAGTCATATAATGAAGATCATTTAGCAAATTTTTCGTACACCTCAAATAGAAATTTAGGCCCTTATAACACAAAACGACATTTACCAGAGCCGAAAGGTATGAGAATCAATGAGGGCTATCAAAATAACTACCGAATGCAAATTCCTCACTATGAGTCGGAAGATGTTTCTATGTCAAATAATATACCATACTCCCAAAGACATTATGATAATAGTCATTCGCTCAGAAAACACTTGCACACGGTAATATGAAAAGCATTCTTGTACTGAAAATTTAAATTGAATATAAAATTTTAGAATACTGGACCACGGCTTTCAGGATATGTAGAAATGAATAATGATAATGGTGTGTGTCAAGAATGTATGTCCAATGAAGCACTTTTTGTTTGTGCCGGATGTCAGAATCAGTGGTATTGCAGTAGGGAATGTCAGGTAAATATAAATATTTAATTATGAAAAAATTACTATTTCTTTCTGTTGACTAGATTAACGCATGGGAAAAACATTCCGAGATTTGTGATGTTTGATTACAATAGCCAAATCGTCAAACATTTCCACATTTATCTAAAATAATATTATAAATAATCTTTGATTCCAAGTATTTAATATTTTGTAATAAATAATATGATTAAATATAAGAATATAACTCTTCGACAACTCAAAATGGTAATATTTTTGTTTTCATTATGAATATTGAGTATTTATACAGATAAAAATAGTTAAGTTGATTTACCAAAATATATAAACAAATTAAAAATTATAAATTATATTTCTTTTTTTTTTAATATTTTTGTATAATATAAAATTTTTGTATAATTGTTTAATACCAAAAAATAATAAGCAATATAGCAAGCCGGTCAGCAATCACACTTTATTTCGTTTTGCTAGAAATCTCAAGATAAAAAAAATTGCAAACCAGTAGCGAAATAAACAAATGGAAGACCCTGGTCGAAGTTTATGAAGGCAGAGTTATAAATTATAAATATCCGAATAGATCCATTTAAAAAATATAAAAAATTACGCAATATACACGGCAATTAAAAAATATTCCTAAACTTATGTAAATCGTTTGTTATTGCTACATGGTCGTAACGGTACGCATATGTGATGATGGCATAAATCGCCGAAGTCTCTTTACAATGACTTTACCGTGCCGTTACATAACAAAACACGTTTTGTTTCTCTTTATTTTCCTTGATCTACAATATATAGACATGCTTAATCATATAAAATATACAGTCAAACTTCCATAACTTAAAGTATGATTTTGCAAAGAAAAGGTTTGACTTATATAAAATTCGAGTTGAAGAATTTATTTTGTAATTTTTTGTGGTAATTTGCTCTCTAAACCCTGTTGCACTCAATTTAGTTCGAGTTATAAAAAATTCGAGTTGGAAGTTTGACTATATTTCAGAAATCGCTTCTGACGGAGCATAGATCAGTACAAAACATTTAAATTTTTACAAATTTAGCGCGAAGTATTTCATTTTCGCTAGGTTCCTCTACTTGGATTTGGATACTTACCTCTTGGGTACCTTTCTTTTATGAACCTTGCGGATTTCATTCAAGCACCCTCTTCGTTATATTGTTCTGGGGCTTTCTCAAGACGTGGCCATTTTTCTTTCCTCCATAGTACTTTGTCAAAAAACCTGCATATTAAAAGTAGACATTTTCTGATTTTTCGTATCACACGTCACGTATCTTTGCTATAGAGACGATCGGGTTTAGGAGTGTTATAAACAGTTGTGTATTAAACATAATTGAAAAGGAATTTTTACTATTTCTATTTATTTATTAAGTTCAATGACTTATTTCTGATAATTATAATTGCTTGAAAAAAATTATGAATAAGCGATCGTATTTTCCATATTAATCCGTGGTATTAAAAACAGTTCAAGTACTTGGTGGCATCTTGATATATATATAATAATAATAAAATACTTAATATTTGCAGACAAATTTTATATTAATATTTCCAGCACTAAACTAAATATCGGCAACAATTGTGAAAGCTCAAAACAGAGCTTTTTTATGGTCGAAATTCAATTTTTATCAATACAATTAAAAACAATTTAAAGTTTTAATGAGTAATGAATTGCAACAACAAAAATTTTATTTTTAATTAATTGCATTTTTTGGTTGACCGTGCGGCAATTTGGGATATTGTTAAATGCCCGATCTAAAGATCAATAATGATCTTTAGAAATAATTCTTTGCTGGTTCCTGAGTAACAGAAACAGTTAAACTCACAACAAACTTGAAATTTGATTAACGAAACTATTTGTGCAGGTTTGGCATCCTTAGCTTCCAAAAATTCGACAGCTTAAAAGTTCTAAGCTTGGCGCTTCCCGTCTATTAAATTATATGCAGACAAAAACGACATTCTTGAACCTTTTTATTTGAAAAATAGTTTCTTTCATCATATTTGACATTAAATAAATTTATTATAGAAAACGAATTTATTTGTGATATTTAGCTTTTAAAATACATGTATTTGTGTTTTACATTTGTTAGTTTTTTTGTTTTCAATCCATAAAAAGGCATAGGGTTATTGGTCAATATATTCTGCAACTAGTCCTAGATTATCGATATTAATGGTTCAAAAGTGGAAAGTAATATTGACTTGCCATTCTCGGTGCCATCTTCCACCACAAGCTACACTTTGACACTAGTATTTTTACTAATTCATAATAAGTAAACTACTAACACAACAGTTGGAAATACTAGGATCAATCATGGAAGACCAACTGAATATATGAAAGCATAACTAAAGACCGATCGATTCAAATCTATGACGGCCTATAAGATTTTTTCTAACAAATGAGTAAAATATCTTTCAATTGCATACATGTTTAAAGACTACATGCGTCTATGTGTTGAACATCATACATAATTAAATAGAAATTTACGCTCTTACCAAAGCGGACGTACTCTGCGCGCACCTGGTTTTGCCGCAAGTATGCACAGAGCCATAGTGTCTGCTGTCATCAGAGGTTCTATATAGTCATGGATTTTAATAATAAATAAGACTTGCATAATCAAACAATATAATATTTTGCTATAGGTTCTATCGCACCCATATACGGATCCTTGACTTCAGGCTTTCTATTGCAGTTGATTTCCGTTAACGGGCACTCATACTCTATTATAATAAGTATGTTAAAAAAACCAACGGTGCATGTTGTCTTAACTATTTCGTAAAAATCTTATTTTGAGATAATAACTCTACTAAAATTCTATTTTGGCATTAAAAAGCGACAACCTATCAACTCAACTTTAGGTTTCCACGTTTTTATCGACATGGAATTGAAATTGGGTAGACTACTAAAAGATAGATTGACCAATAATATTTACATCTTTCATAGTTCAAGACATTAGTTAGTTTCTTATAAAATATTTATGTAAGTACTGTTAGTTACTGACTGTATTACAAATTTTTTAGATTTCTACAAATAATACGGAACATCAGTTTTTGTATTTAATAGCTCTATAACGCATGAAACTGATAATTCATACTTTAATAAAATACTTTTTTAATTGTCTGATAACGCCACCTCGGCGAATAACGTTAAAGGAAACTCGAATCCATATTTCTTTCTCTTCTTTCATGTATGTATATTATGTACCTATGTATCCCTGCATTAAATGAAATTTTTAGAAACAAAAACTGCACTTCAACGTCATACATTAATAAATAATTCCGAAGTATAGACATTATAAATAGCAAAACATTCCTAAACTACATATAAATAGCACTGCGAATTATCTGAGTCTTAGCGCCGATGTCTTGAGCCTCACACTATAAAGATATACACCATAAAGAAAAAAGTTTTTCAAGCTATTAAAATGTATGAAAATCATTGCCAAATCTTGAGACCTTAGAAATTATAATCTCTCCATTGAAAGTATAGTATATATTACTTTCAAAAAACTATGGCTACAAGCTGGAATATGCCGTCCACTATTATACATTAATTATATACGGATGGAAGGTCTGATTACCTTTAAAAGAAACAAAAAGCAATACTAAAGAGGTTACTGTATAACGTATAAGAAAAACCTTATAGGCTACCCTGTCAAATGGTTAAGGTACCATTTCATATATATCTGTGGTTGATCACCTGAAATCAACTAGGCGTGGTGTTAGGCACTCGGATTTTTGAAATTAACAATACTTTGACTCAGTTGACTAGTGAACACTGACTCTGAGCTTTAAATTTCTCACGGTACGACCTTAACCGTTGGTACTTGCAGTCTCAAAAAATTATTTACGAATAATTAAATACTAGAAATAATTCCAAGACAACTAATAATGGGTATTTGACAATACTTGAATACTTGAAACAACCTTATCGTCATCCAAAAATTAACATAATTAGTTATTTTTAAAGTAAAATAGCCAATGTTATCATAAAACCAAAATTAAAAACATAACACAATAACTGAGTGTGTTAATGAAATGAACTACTATTACTATTAAAAAATATCCGACTTGTCTTTCAGATAAGAATTTAAGCTATTCAAGTAACAAACAAACTACTACAAAATATTGTTGTCACTAGCATAACTGTGAATGTCTCTAATGCAGCTATTAAAGGTATATAATGTTGTTATGTTGTTATTAAATGCATAATAAGAGGAGAACCACATTTATGGAGGTATCAGTTTGAAAAATGAGTAAGTTGCCATGAGTAAGTTGTTAACGTGATTCTACTAGGAACGCTATTTTTGTGACGTGAGTGGAATAAGTAATTGAAACTTTTACTGGAATCGCAATGGACTTCCATACTCTGAATTTGCCGGTTTCAAATCGTATATTAAAATATCTTTAAAATATAATTCAGTTACCGCTTAATTTTAATCAGATTTCATTAGTCTGACTGACTCATGACTGAGGGGAAAAATGAGTTTCTTACTGCAGTTTCACTTCCGACGTAAAGAGCATTTAGTATCTCACATACCAATGTACAACCAATCGAAGTAGGACGGACTATCGCCTGTGATTAATGCTTACGAATTATTGGATTAGTGATAAACAAAACAAGAAATTTTATTAAAATAGTTTTATTCATATTACCTGCTATTATATTTAGTCCAATGATTTAAAGAACTCTTTAAATTTATAATCTGCATAAAATTAGTTATTAATAATTACAAGTTTTTAATTAATGTTCATTAAGTCAGTTAAAAAAAAAATATAGTATATAATTTTTAAAGATTTCTACACATTTAAATTATTTAATAAAGCGCAAAAATATTTACAAAATAATTTAAGTATTGAAATTTTATTGTTATAACTATGTTCCTGATGGAATACGGATACATATATATGTATGTACACATTTCTCAATTTTAAATATTTATTATTTTGAAATATATTGTGTATAAGAACTTATGTAATTTTAATATAATACAAATGTTATCGTTTGTGCAATTTACCACATATTTCAATATAAAACTACTGCTATTTGTATGAAATTTGTTACATGAATAGTTTGTTTCAAGAAATAAAATATATTAGTTTTATTTTTAATTTGAAAAAACTACGCTTTCTCTAAAGTTTTTAATTTTTTGCACGAAATATGATTCCAGGTTTTCAGCGCATTTATAAAAGGATGATTCTTTTGGATTGTAATAACGGCAGTTATCAAATATTTTCGTCATATCACCAATAAACTCCGACAACTTCATATATGAATTCGTGTTCAATTTTTCTTCAACAGTTTGTAAATCTTTAATGCAAAATAGATAAAATTACAACAGTATTAAGGGACCACCAAATATGTAATGTATTTTATGTTACCCATTGGTTCTTTAATTATTTTGTAATAGTCCGGTGCTTCCTCTGCATCGACAGGTTCCATAAACGGCCAAGCGCTTTTATGAGACTAAAAATATAAATAAAAAATTATTGATTATTTTGTGAGCACATGTGTACGATTCCTATAAAATAGCTAGCTTTCCAATGAAGAATGAAAAGTTAGATGTTTAAAAAAACTACATTATTATTAAATTTTAATTTTAAAGTTCGGAAGAATGCAGTTTTATAAAATGTTAAGACAGAATAAAAGTTTAAAATAGTTGGATACATTATATATACATTTTTTTTATTTTTCATTTTTAAATAAAAAAATAAAAGGTTGAAAATACTTGAACCTACTTATTAAATATATTACATATATTACTTTTTAAAATAACACAGTTCCACATTAAAATTTTTTTTTTAACACAAATCCCAAAATTTTTTACTTAATTAAGCTTTTGTATGCATCAGTGGGAAATATAGAAATTTTATTGTTCGATTTTTCAACCAGAATCGTACTTGAATTTTACTGATGAAAGCATTCTTGATGCAGTCCGTAATAAACATACGCGTTTGTTATCAAGTAGCAATAAACAGTTGCGAAATTGATTCTATTTCTAATTTGTACGGTTTTTTTAAATTGTGTAACATATCCCCAACATTACCATAAGACGCATGTATCTTTTTATGCAAATTTCCTAATAAACGTATTTTCCACGTAAAAAGAATTGGGTATACTAACTTAGATTGAATTTTAAATAATCGCTAAGAGCAAGTAAACTAACCATGTTATCACACAAAATGATATAAAATATGTAAAAGAAAAATCATATAATAATACACTTCAAGGATACAACTTAAAATTACATGGAAAATATTAAAATACTCATAAGTAATAATTAACACCGCTACGAAATGTAATAATATAATAATGTAAGAGATAATTCCACATATTATTCGATATTTTATTTTACATTCTTATATACTTGATATAATTTAAAGAATACTTAAATACAAAAAAGAAATATGTATTTACTTACCTGAATTTGTTTAATTAAATTTTTTAGTTCAATTTTTTCATTTTCTGTTAAATTTTTCATATTTGCCAAATTCACTGTGTTATTTGTTTGACAGCCTGGACAAACATACTCATCAATATATTCTGCTTCCGCTTGAAGAATACCAACACAGTAACCATGGAACCAGTCCTGGCATTTATCACAACATATGTAAAATTTCGACTCATCGTACGGCTGCTTGCAAATACAATATAATTCCTGAGTTTCTCTTGCGTGCTTACAGTCATCGCATATAAATTCAGATAACTTTTTTGAAGCCTCCTCTGTGATTTTCACACAATCACCATGAAACCAATTACTGCATAAATCGCACCCAACATAAAATCTATTACAAATATAAAATAATATAAAATTGCTCCATTAAAATATTAATATATTTATGTACTTTGTATCATCATACGGCGTCCGACATATGCAATAAAGTTTTTCTTTCTTTCTAGAATTTGTCTTCTCTTGATTACTTGCAGAAGCTTCATTTATTAATGTGTTACTCCGGTCGTTAGTATGTTTTTGTGGCCTGTTTTAAAGGACAATAATTGTTTAAATAATAACAAAAAAAAAAAAGAAATGATTTTTTACTTTTTTGTCTCAAGCGGTGATATTTCCGATTTTCTCTGAGTCGTTCTTTTATCTGAGACAACCTTATCCGAGTAATTAACTTTTACGGACATTTCATCATTGATTTCATTTTGTAAGCTTCGTTCTAGAAGGGAACGTTTTCGTAATATATTTTTTTTAAGTATGTCCTTACGGCGCTCCAAAGTTTGCTAGAATAACAACATAACACGTTAAAAGAATATAAATAATAAAAATGATGGATTATAACATATATTTGTAATTGCAAATTGCTTTACATTTACAAGTAATGTGTTGACATTTACATCTGAGGAGTTTCCTTTCAAGTCCATATGCTTGCCGTTATTCCTTATTTTTAGTGTTGATACATTGTCAGATTTTGTTTTTTTCGATACTGTGTGGATCCAATCGGCATCTTCACATACTTTATTACTATATCTTTTATTGGAGTTGAGAGCATCAGTATTAATATTGTTTATTTGCATAGGTTCGGCTGTTTGTATTTCTTGTTCTTTTTGTTCCATATTTATCGGACTTTGTTCAACCTCTGGATTGATACTAGTTTGCTGAAGTGAGGATTTTATTGCTACGGAAATGGAAATATAATTTTAAAGTTAAATTAAAAATATCAGATATGTGTAAATGATCATATAATTACATTGTTGGATGCATCTTGGTGTAACAACGAGGTTTTGTGTCTTGCTGTCAACAATATCAACGTTTTTAATTTTACTTTGAGCATCTAAGCAAATTTCACTATTTGGCGTATTAAATATGTGGCTGATGTTGGCGATTTCATTATTTTGTTTTTCATTGGTTATCTTGTTTAACTGAGACGTCTGTAAAAGCATAAAAATTTTCATTCATTCATCGTATTATAAAATTTTACTTACATTATATTATATGCTTATAAATAAGACTATTCTAATACTGTTAATACAGACCCACCTTTTACTAGACTGTTCAGTTGTGGTACTTATTCCAGGAAACCTTTAAAAAGTTATCGAAGAGATTAACGGTAATGTTCAAGCAGCGTTTTTGTGAAAATGTTTTGAAGAATTTTTATAAAAGATACAAAAAGTTAATTGAACTGCTGTATGGAAGTGAAGAAAAAAATGTGTAAAAATTCATTTCGATTAGATGAGATGATTAAGATATGTATAAACAAGCCTTTGTGTTAAGTTTTCGTTTAATAAAAAATAAATTTTTACTTATTTTATTCATTTGGATTGACTGCTCTTACCACACTTTTTTATCAGTTAATCTCTTCAACATTGATTAAAGATTTCTTGGATGGCCACATTATAATGATTTTAATAATAATTTGTGATATGATTCAAAATTTGCAATGACAATTTGTTAATAATCATTAAAATCATACATTTAGCGAGCGCTTTTTGTCAACACAAAGGCCAATTGCAAATAATCATCCAACTAATTCAGAAATGAATGTTTACATTTCTTTCATTTTAATACAGTATTTGAATTATTATATTAAATATATATTGAGTACAAAACTGTTTGAAAATAAAGACTGCTTGGTTGTACATGAATATTTACGAAGTGCAATAATTTTAAAACTTTATTCACTGAAATATTTAAGTGTAAAATTGTGTTAAAATAAAACATGCCAAAAATATAATTAAAAAAATTTATTATAATTTATTGCAAAAAGCGCTTTACAATTATACAGTTTTAATATATGTTATATGTAATTTTTTTATATAAATGACAAAAAATTACATTTCTAAATAATAATATTAAATTCCAATTAAAATTTTTAAATAAAAACTTGTGTTGAAATGTAAAAACATGAATTAATCTTAGTTTAAATAAAATAATTATACCTAAATATCATATCAATTATTTTTTCCAGCATTCTAATATTGTATACTATATGTTTATAAAAACATAAAAAGGTTAATCCTTTTAAAACTTTCTAAGTTTTAGTAATTTTATTTCTAAAATGCAAATTGTTTAAAATAAGTTTTAGAAAAACATCCATATTTGCGGTACAATCAAAAGAAAAACGCAAACTTATTAATTACATATATATATTAGTGTTTCAAAGTGTTTAAGCATTATGGGTAGTATATACTCCAGATATTACGAGCTGTTCGATGATATTTGAACTACTTGAACAGCAAACTTGCTTAGTTATTGTTTGGTTTAATACCAACAAACATAAAAGCAAATGCACGAAAACAATGCTTAAACGGTTCGATGTGCTCGAACATTAAAACTCTGAAATCTTTGAAGAATTCAAAGAATTATATATGAAGAAACACCGGAACATTGAAAGTTTATATAATTTAATTTAAAATAGAACACCTGAAACGATGTTAAAAATGGTTCTCTGTTACAAACAGATAGAAAATACAACAAACAGAATAAAAAGAAAATATATATATAAGCACGGATATATTTTAAAAACTTTCAATTTTGAAATTCGCTAGATACTTTATGAATAAACTAATCTAAAACAAATTTAAAACTAAATAATATATGTATATATACATATATTATATTATATAAATATATGTATATACATATACACACACACATATATATATATATATACTACTATTATCATGTTATTTAATTACACGTATTTTTTTTTTACTAATATAAAGTTTTAGTTAAGTTTATATATGTTTTGCGTTGAAATAAATAATTAATAGTAGAAAAATATAAAATAAATATCCTCAATATAGCCATTTCAAGATCTATGTGCTTCTGTGTTAACAACTACTCACTTGCTGATGCGTTGATTGTATTACTGGCGTAAGAGGAGGTGGCTGAGAATTTAAAACAACGTTTGGTGGTTGCACTGCAAGATATATTTTAGTAGGACCTAAAACTCCTTGTTTTCCATTCGATTCTTGAGCTGAAAAAATAAAAAGTTATATTATATTATATATAAATAAATATATTGATGTAGTTTCTTCAAAATTTTTGTACTTATTTAGTATACATCATCCATAAAGCACAAACAGTTCTATTTAAATATATGTTATGCATTAAGTATATGATAAGATTTCGATGTTTTTTATAATTTCAAATATAAAATAGATAATGGTAGTGCAATGATTCTTTGTGGATGTTCATACATCCATAGAACCACAATGGTTTATATTTATTTAATATGTTATGCCTTAAATTAATGATAAAATTTCAATGATTATTTATAATTTCTAATATAAAATAAACAATGTTAATACAGTGATTGATTCCATCTTATATAAATTATCATTGATAATTATAGAACAGTTTAAAGTATATATAAGATTCTACTAGCTAAATAATTGTTCAAATAATTGACAAATGATTTATTTTCTTACCTTTTAGTAATTGTTGCTTAACTTGTTGCTGGACAAGTGCTAGTTGTTGCTGAGTAAAGTCATTTCCTACTAAACCTTGCAGCACAATACGTGGTCCTTGTTCAGTTTGTATAACTTGTGCTGTAACACATTTAATAACTGTTCCTGGTGGCTGTCCTTGCAACAAGCTTTCTTCAACAGTCATCGTTTGAGTTTGTTGTGGTGGAATTTGTGTCTGCGATGTATCTTGTTGTGTTGTAAATGCTTGTTGCTGTTGAACCGTATTTAATTGTTGTTGCTGTTGCTGCTGTATAGCATTTGGTTGATTCGTTAATATTTGTTGAGTAATACGCTGTTGTGTCTGCTTTTGAAGTTGTGGCGTAGGTGTCGTTGGCGTTTTCACTGGGGAGGTTGTTTGTGCCTCAATGTTGCTGTTAGTTACAATGTGCGCATTTCCATCGCTTTGTGTTTTTATATGAGCTACTATTTGAGCCTGATTATTTCCCAAAGGTTTTATGATTACTTGTTGACCGTTTATTGTTACAACTTGTAATTTTCCTTGCGCCAATTGTTGAGCCAGTGTAGAGTTTTGTACTACTAATTGTTGATTTGTACCAGAAGATGTGCTAGAAATACTTGGTTGTTGTGTCTTAATAATAGTTTGCTGATTTGTTTCACTAATAACTTGCGATTGTGGCTGTTGCTGCATAACTATTTGTTTAACAATTTTTGTTTGTGGTTGAGTAATAGCTGGAATTGAATTTGCTTGATTTGACTGAACTATTACTTGTGTTGGCGTTGACTGTTGAGGTGACTGTATTACTTGTTGCGGTAAAACTTGGACTTGCTGATTTTGTGTGATCGCTCTTTGGGTTACGATCGTTTGACCTGGACTAAGGATTATACGCTGTCCTCCCACCATAATTTGTTGCTGGACATTGCTTGTATTAACAATTTGTTGAATAACTTTTTGTGTATTTTGGGGAGTTACTGTGGAGGAGTTTTGACCTTGATTTATAATAACATGTTGAGGTGTAGTTGGAGTCTGTACACCAGAAACAGCAGAATTAATTGATTGATTTGATACAACCGTTGATTGGGGACTTGCCGACAATATTACCTTTTGACCTTGTGCATTTTGTCCAACAATTATTTTTTGATTACCTTGAACTATAACATGTTGCTGTAGACTGTTAACAATTTTTGTATTAGGTGTTGTTGAACTAGCAACTTGACCCACATTTGTCACAACTTTTTGGATATTCGGTGAAGCTACAACTTGCTGATTTGAAATTTGCGTAATAACTTTAGCTGGTGTCCTGACTTGATTAGATGTTACAGTAAATTTCTGAGCAGGTTGGACCGTTGGAGATTTGGAAACATTTTTTACAGCTATTTGTTTCATTACAGGAGAATTTGGTTGCGCCATTTGTTTAACTGGAAGTTTTGTTTTATTGGTAACTCCTAAGTGATAAGTGATATTTGTGCATAAGTTTTTTATATATATAAAATTTAAATTTACCTGTTGTGGTTGAGGTTGTTGTTGTCAATACGTGAAGTTTACCGTCAGGCATTTGAATCAATTGCTGCCCTGGATTGAGTCCCCTTACACTAACTTTACCATCAGGCCCTCTTATAATTTGAACTTTATGCTGTGTACCCGATGAAGTTGCTTGTTGTTGTACATTTGAATTGTTTACTTGAGGAGTTGCTTTTTGTACAGGCGATGAACCGATCGCTTGTTGAACAACTCTTGTAGTTCCATCTGCATTCTTAACAATTAATCTTCTACTTCCAACAACTTGACCCTTAACTAGAAATAACGCATAACAACAATATATTATTACATTCTAGAATTTATTTATCATAAACACTTACCGATATTACTAGATTTATTAGTTTCTATAATTTTCTTTTGCTGCTGAACAGATCTTTGTATTTTTATTTGATTTTCCACTTTTTCTTTTGAATCATCAGAAATTTTGGTGTTTGATATAGACCTGATACTTCCGTTTTGAGTTGATGAAGAACTTCCAATCGCTTCAGCTTGTCGTAATGTAACTGATCGCGTTGTTGCGACTAGTCTTGATTTTTCCAATTTCTCACCAATAAATTTTATTTCCCACAATTCAAGCTTATCTTCATCCACCCATTCTTCTGTGATTTGAGGTTCTGTCGGTTGTGGTGATTCGGCACGTTTTCTTTTCCGTAAACCAGAACGAATTGATGTTACTTCTGCTAATATATATTAAACAGATCATAAAATCAATTGCTATATTAAAAATTTATAAGGACTTACCTCTTACTGTTTTTGGTAATTCCAATGGTATTACTACTCTACGTCTTAAATAACTAGTTTTCTCTCCATATCGACCCAAATTACGTAGTTTTAATAATTCTACCGTTACAATTTCTGTTTCACTCGTTACCTGATGCTTTCCATCTGCAGAAGGTGGTTTAGAAATCATATCGTCCCATCGTAAACAACACCAAAGAATTCGTAATTGCAATGCTATCGACGAAAGTGTAGTGGCATATGAAGTTCGATATGCCCAGCATGTTTTAAATAATGGTCTGGAACATGGATATGACCAAACCGAATAATTGTTTTTAGCTAAATGATGGAAACCACTTACAGATAATTTCCCACCAAGTCGAGCCAACTTTAACAACTCATACCTTGGTATCACTAGTAAGCTTTTTTGAAGTTTGTGAGTTAAATAGTTTGATATAAGAGGATATTTGGAGTAAGGAGCAACTTTGTTTTCCGATTTTTCAATCTCCACTTTAGTTGTACTGCTGTTTCGTAACTTATTTATGTCACGTATTAAATACAGACGACCTCGACTTGATGATGTAGAGTATATGCGCTCTTTACCATTAGGGTAAAATTCCTTTTCATATTTTATTTCATCTCGTTTAATAGTTCTAGCCTGTGTTGGAAATCTTCGATTTTGTTTAATATGACTAATGTCTTTTTCCACTGTTTGGCTCAGCAAATCTTTTGTTGCTGATTTATTAGTCCGTGTTTTGTGTGATTTTCTACTTTTTCTATTTATAAGTGGATCAGAATCTTCATCTTTCACGGTTAGAGCTGTTAGGGAGTCTTCGTTTGCTGTTTCTGAACTTTCAATTTCAACGTTACTGCAAACATCTAAATTTTCAATATAATCCATTTTATCGTTACAACTCACTTCAGATTCTTCTGGGATTTCTTGTTTTATGGTTTCTTTTGCCATATCTATCTCATTTTTTGATATATAGCAACTATGTACTAATTGATTTTCAAATTTAATAGACGACAATATAGCAGCTTCCCAATCTTGCAGAATATCAATAGGAGTTTCTTCAGAAGAAATACTTTCGTTTATTTCATCGACAATTATGCTCGAATCTTTCTTCCCTTCAGTTAATTTTTGCTCTAAAATAGACGGTTTTTTCACGGCCCCAAGTATAGCCGCAACTGTTTCTTTAGACCCATTACCAGCGGTATGTGCTTTCCTTAATAATAAAAGTAACTCCTTTTTTGCTCTTGCTTTCTGTAAGCATAATGGAGAATAGCATGTATTTTGTGTTATTTGTGAAACTGCATTAGAGCTGGTATTACATTCCATTGTATAACATCGATATTGTTTAGCAAAGCGATTAAGTTGACTAAATTGAAAGCGAACCGATTGAATTCTTCTTGCAAGCGAATTTACAAGCTCTGCATTTATATTACTTGACTGGGAGGCAACATTTTGAGATTTCTGTGTATCTACTAAACGCAATAAACGTCTTTCTAAAAATGTTTGCCGAACATGTTTGTTAACTGATGAACTTGTCGCTTTAGTCAAACTGTCACCATCAGATTTAATGGATATTTGTTCTTCAGCTTCTTTAAGTTCTACACGCAACGAAAGTAGATCGTCTAGTCGAGATTTTTTTGCTACTTTAGGATAAAGAAGTCGCCCAGGTGTAGTCAATGATACAGACACATCTATAATATCAATATTTTGTTCATGACTTCGAACATTTTGTATTTCAACATTTTCAAAGTTTTCTAAATAATGATAGTCTAAACCCTGTTTGACGGCGTTGCCACATTGCATTATAAATTTAAAGGTTCGTGGGTCAATAGTAACAATTTCATTAACTTCATCACCATTTTTGTAATGCATACTAATTTTATAAGATGATATATTATCTAAGCGATTTATATTTTTTCGCATCTTACCACATCGCCTTGAGGTTGATAGCCACATCCACCCCCATTGGCCATGAACACGATATTCTTCACCTTTTTGTTTCCAAACCTGATGCTTAAGTCCTAATGAATACTTTATGTAATTGAAAGCAAGCCTGTTTCTTTCTTCCTCATCATCACGTTCACGTTTTTCACGCTTTTCAATTTTCTTTCGTTCTTCTCGTTCTGCTGATGTTATTCGATGAAATGTTGTATGACCCAATTGCTCGTGCCAAACATTAGCAAAAATCACATTTTTTAATGATGCCTCAAACAATAGCAAAGCATTTGCAAAATCAGATGGACGCTTGGCATTAGTTATGGCTGTATTCCAAATTCGTTTTATAACATTCCAATTAGGATTCATAAAAGGCGCAGAAATATTTTGTTCAAAATTGATTAACGTTTGACGCAGTGTCATCGTAATGTTATCTACTGTTCCCATCGTTATGCCGATCCATTTAAATTCAGAAGCAGTTGTAAGTGAAAACTTATGTGATAAATGTCGCCTTTTATCACGTTCTTCATTTCTTTGAGGCTTATTTAAGGCGATAGGATTTGAAGTGTATTGGTTAACGTAATTCTTAAATGCATTATCCATGCCAAGTTTAAAATACAGAGTTCCATTATTAATTTCATTTTGTTTTTGTCTTGTAACAATTTTATTATCTGTCGTTTGAACATCGATATCTTTTGACTCTGTTTCACCATCATTGCTGTCATTGCCTTGTGTTGACAAAAGTGAATCATTCTCTAATTCAAGATACGATTTTTTATTATGTTTATGTTCATTTGTCAAGGCTTCGGTAATCTTTAGTTGCCGCAATATTTCATCTTTTCGCTCAATTAATTGATTGTAAAGTCTAGACTCTAAATCATCTTTATCTAATAACGTTAGTAAGTATTCAAATTTAGGCACACTACTATAGTACCATATATTTTCCCCTGATTGATCTTCTACAATTATTCTTCGCGCTATAAACCAAAATTTACGCCCATGTCTATCTAATCCTATAACATCGTGGCGTATAAGCACCCCTTGCTTTTCTTGTGGTAAAATGCAATCTATAACACCTACCACTTTTTGAGATTTACATAAATTACATTGCCAATCTTCTGAAGGAATTTCTAAAAGTGGTGGTTCAACACATTCAAGATGATAAACAGCAGGGCAGGTTTCACAACAAAGTAAATCACCAAGCCTATGGCAAACGCGGCAATGATCATCATAATGAATTGGACCTTCTTGCAACATTACATCTCTTACAGCATTTGCAGTCAGAAATTGATCTGCTAAAAATTGTAATATTGTAATACGGTCATCCACTCCAGTATAAGGATATTCTGCAGAGCATAATATATTATATACTTCTCGATCAAATACTTTATCGCTCTCTACATAACTGCGCAAAACTTCAGGCCACGTAATTGGGTCAATTAAATACAAACTAATATTAACCGTGTCCTTTTGGTCCAAAGGACCGAAATGCGTTCCTTGCACATCTTCTTCACGAAGAATTGCCTTCAGAAGCATAATGTGAATGTCAGTAAGCAATGCACTTTGTTCATCACATACTAGAGCAGCACAAAAATCTTCGAAACGGAATGGCGACAACCGCACTAAATGCCTAAATCTTCGCAGTACTTCATATATATTAAGTGCTTTTAAAACATGATGTTTATTTATCAGTAAATCATCTGACGACTCAGGTAAATTCAAATCTGCATATTCTCTTCCTTGAAGCCAAATGGGTTCTGGACTAGGAGGTCGAGGCGGTCGTCCAACACCTGTTTGATTAAAACTGCAAACGGAGAACTCAGATTCGCTTTCATTTGCTGCATCTAAACTATCATCTTCAGAACCTGATGCAAGTAAATCATCATCAGCATCACTTTTTTCACTTGAATCACCGAAATCTGAACCGTAATGATACTCGGATTCATAGCCTATAATAAAAAAAATAATAATATATATAGAATCTTGGTAAGTGTAATAACATTGTTATAACAAACAACAATGTTGGATGCAGTTTTACAAACAATTTACTAGCCTAGTGTTGTTGTTTTTCTATTATTCATTAATTACTTCGTTTAAATTATATTTTCAAATTTGATTCTGAATTATACTGCAATAGACACACGTTTTTAAAAATATTAAGTTTTCTCGTCAATTTTATGACATTGCGTGAGAAGTCATTCCATTTAATCAGTTTATCGATTTTCATCTGCCTGGATTCACAAAAAGTCTGGGTAAACATCTTTACTTGATAAGTTTTAAAATTGAATGACTAATTTAACGACATCCAGATGAAATTATTTGATTATGCCGTTCAATCACATATTACTTAATTTTTTTGATCTCAGACTTTTAGTTCAGAACGTCATGAACACCTTGAGAAAGTTTATATATTTAAAATATAAATAAAATACATTTATTTATTTATAATATAAATAAAATATATATATACATATTTATAATATAAACAAAATTTATATATATATTTGTTGCATAAATTATATGGTATTTTATACTTTTTTGATTAAAGTATTGAAATTTCAAATATATATATATATATATCAGATTACAAAATATGATCCGATTTTTGAGTTTCTATTGCAAAACTCACTATTAACTAATGAATTGTGGAAAAAATTTTTCAAAGCTTTGAATAGTAAATTTGATTTATATTATTTATGAAATGACTAATGTGTGGATTTTATATTATAATAAATTAATCAAAAATTTGAGTATTTTATTTTATATAAAATTTGTATTTCATGAAAATGATATGTTAAACTTCTATTACTCTTTTGTTTGTATAGAAGAGGCATCAATATTTGTAGATATTTTCGCGCCAATATATTTTAACTTTACTGTACTATATAATAATTATTTTAAATAGATTTAAGTAGATTTTAAAAAAATTTTATGTGAACATCGCAAATGTCGTATGTTTTACATAATATAATATTAGATATATAGTATATAATATATAGATAAATATATAGCTATTACAATAGCTACATACAAAATAATATATTAAATATATATTCTTTAATTAAAATGACGCTATTTACCTTTTCTACTTGAATATGATGTATTGGATTGAGTGTGACTTGTGGACTTCCTTCCACGTCCTCGTAGCTTAATATTTGTTTTTCTATTGTAACTGCGACTACCATCACTTTCTTGGGGCGATGATGCTCGTGACGCTGATGGTGTGCTCAGTTGGGAATCGCAAGGTTTACTTAGATACTTTGGCTTTTTCAACATCAAATAATTAAATTTTCCAGATCGTTCGCTGGGTGTTTTTGGTGGTCGTCCACGTTTGCGACTACCTCTTGCACTCATATTAAAATTGTAAATAAAGTTCTTGTTTATATAAAAATATATTTATTTGTGCCTGATTTTTGAACACTAAACCAGTTCTAGTTAATGTACAATTATAATTCTTTATTTATTTATCATATATTAAATATTTTAAAAATTGTTCAGTAATATATTGTTATAACATTTTATAGGCATTAATATATTTTTGCTATTAAAACTAGAGATTGTTTTTAATTGATCAGTTTATGCTTAAGTTTGCATTTAATAAATCAAGCCAGTCCACATTGTCCGCCATTATAAAATATTACATTGGAACAAACTCTTCGATTTATTTATATTCACATGCACTTATTTCGAATTTGCAAAACGATTATTATTGTATATACATTTTACTTAATTAATAACGTTTATATTAAATTTATACATGATTTTATATTTATTTCCACAGCGAATTTTCTTAAATACTTCACAGAATAAATGTTTCTGAACGTACAGTCGTATCGACCAATCACAGAACAGCTTCTATTTTACAACGTCAAAAGCGACACCTGTATTTGATATTTAAAAATAATTTTACAATAACTACTACCAGATGTCGCTTCAGTTTTCATATCGTCATATACTACATAAATTCTATTTTAAGTATATATACATATATATAAAATTGATTAATACGCGTATATTGTTTTGTATATAAATTAATTACAATAAAATATACAAAAATATTATTATGATTTCGGTTAAATTTTGTTAAATTTCTACAAAAACAGTCATTTTCGCTTAAATTTCAATTAAAGTTATAAACTTAAAACAAATAAATATTACATAGTATTTATTAAACAAATGCAATTATTAAAAAATGATTTTTGCACAATTTTATTTTTTTTATTTATTATTTTTACAAACAAGTGGTTATAATGTATTAGTAACTAAAGAGTAAAAAAAAACTCGTGATTATTTTTTTAATTTATAACGTTCATTAGAAATTTAATATGAAATTAAAAAATTATTTTTTTTTCGATTTATTGAGTTCATCAAAAATATTATTAAAAAATATTTTCATCTATAATTATAAAATTCTAAACATATATGTACATATATATATAGCTAGTCATAAAAGTTAATCAATGGCGGAGCTAGTCCAACTCTGGACGTCGGCGAAATCAGAATTGCGAGGCGCCTTTTATTACTGATTTATATAAGTAAATAATTTAGATTTGCTAATATGACAAAGCCTGCATGAACATTTTATTGCTAATCAAATAAAAATAAACACAAATTAAAAAAAATGAATTTTTCTTATTTAAGTCTCACCAAATTTTTTTTACAATTATGTCATCATTTGCACCAGCGGCTATTTTCGCTTTAATTGGAAGAATTGCCAATTCAGATAGTTTCTCTTGGCTTATCGTACTTCTCAAATAGGTCCTAATCAATTTTAACTTTGAGAAACTTCTGTCAGCGAGAACTGTACTGATTGAAACTACGAACATAATTCTGGTTACTATATATATATTCGGATATACTTCTCTAAATTATTTTCTTGAATATACTGGATGATTTGGATTATATCATTGATTAAGTCTAGCAAATTCGATTTTAAAAGCAGGAGTTCCTCATACAGTTCTATGGGCTGAATTTTTGCAACTTAGTTTTGGCATCTTCGCAACGCTTGCTCGACTTTAAAGAAGCAAATAGATTTTAAATTCCAAATGTCGCATCCACAAGGCGTGTAAAGTGCTCTTGGATTACTATACAGGATTCTTGTTCCAACACTTTTATTAATACCGACCACATTGGCACCCATGCTCCTTTTTTTGTTTGTTCTTATCTTTCAAATATGCGACTCAAATCTTTCCAATCAGAGTATTCTTCTTTTACCATCTGTATCTGCATGTGTGAAAAAGTTTATATGGAAAGCAAAAGACTTTATTTTGATATTTTCAATTTTCGAATACAATAGAAACTAGAAAAATGTCTTTTATAAAAATCCTTAGCATAACTTTCATCAGATTTGTGTACGTTTTGCTGAGAACCATTATAAATTAAATTCTGACCATACAAAGCCGTTATTGGAAATACCCACCCCCCGGATCTACGTTAATAAAAGGCTTTCTTAATTGAACTGCTTGCTCTTCTTTTCTCGAATCACTAATTATCTCAATTTCTAATTCTTTTATTCACGTAATAAAAGGCAAACAAAATATTTTTTCTCTGATTCTACATACTTTTATTATAAAAGTCTAATTGTAGATAAAGAATGAACTATTCAGAGAGTATGTAATAAATAAAAATATATAAACATTAATATCGTTAATTAAATGTAAACAGAAAATAGATAAATACAACTTTTCGCTTAAAGCGGTTAGAAAAATATTTTCTTTTTTTTTTTAAGTAAAGCCCGTATTACACATGAGATTTTTTGTCAAACTTTTTTGTGAAATCGGAAATTTGTGCCAAATTTGATGTGTAATAGCAACATTCGAAAATTTGACAAAAAAGTTGGATGGAAAGCAAAAAATTTTGTTTTTTCCTCAAATTTGCTCGTGATTTTTCGTATACAATCTGATTTTTGTCGACTTAGAGCAAAATTTCATTCTTTTTAAGGAATGGAGGCGAAAACATTGTTTAAATGCACTCAGGATATTATTTGATAGTATATTTGTTATTTTTTTTGCTGGGACTTGTTAAAAATAATGTCTACTGTTTTGATGTGTAATAGCAAGTGACGGCAATAGCAAGTGATGTAGAATAACAAGCGATGACATCGATCGCTGACAGCTGATGGTGTGTAAAAGGCTCTATATTTTCTGTAAAAGCAATAAGCTAATCAGATCTACCCTAAGGGTAGATAAGCATCAATTGAACATTAACATTTCCCCTATGTTACAGCTATTTTACATCAGCTAATACAAACATTGAGCAATTGCATTGCATTTCTTTGTGTTCAAAGTGTTTGATGATCGGATTGAACTTGTGTTGTTTGCGTTTTTATGCTGTTTTACTTTATGCGTACTCTGTTACAAATAACCATTTTTTCTTCATTTTGCTATATACATATTGTACTTTTCCTACGTATACTAAGGGAAGTTAATAATTAATTTAATTTTAATGTTAGTATTATGATAATTCTTCAGTAGTCGGCATAATTTTACTTGAATAGGAAATTTTAGAAGCATAATGCCACACAACTTCTCCACACTTTGATTGCCGTTGTCAATCTGGTATCACGCTCTTGTCTCGATTGTATTGCATTTAGTTATCGAGCTAATAAGCGGGTATTGGAGTAATATTTCATATCTGTAGTGGAGGAGTCGATCATCATATCTGTAGTGGAGGTCATATCTGAATGTTGAGTGAAATAGTTTTTTGGACTTAAAATAGTTCTTAAACTTCGGATAGGAAAAATTTGATACTTTGTCCGTGTTGGGATGGAAAATGTGTTAGCAACTTTGGCGGTAAAAGACAGGGGATGGAAATTGTAACAGAACGGAAACAGATGTTATTGTGTGTAAAGAAAGGAACTAAAAAAAATATTTTGCATTATCAGTTCATGAATTAAATTAAAATAAATCCAATTGGTAGAAAATTTGCAAACTTTTGCATAGTTATAAATGATTATGAAATTGGCAAATTATATAACATTTTATCAAAGTACTGTAATGTGTTTCGCGCAGTATTCGCTAAAAAGAGCAAGAACGTGACTACTAAAGTGAACATTCAACTCACTACTAATACTTTGGTCTATATAAAAGCCACTCTGGTGACCATTTGCAAAACATCAAATATTATCTAATAGAACAGAATTACTTAAAAATGACATGACATGTAATATTTCTCTACGAATAATGTACGGTTTAAGTTTCCAGTAATTTTAGTTACAAACAAATAACTTATACAGATAGCCATGTCGCTCCATACCTGTTACAGCCATCGTAATTGACGTTGGCTAATGAAATGTCAAATATAATATTAAATGTAAGACATGTAATATTAAAGAAATAGGGCCATGTTAGGGCCATGTTATGCAAAGTGTCTCGGGCACGGCATGAGTACAATTGTTGTTGTTTTCAATGCAAATTTTAAATTTGAGAATGAGAGAAAAAACAATATGGCCGTTCAAACTCCGACATGAGAGCCGGCGTATTTGTGCCCCGGCACTAAGGCAAAACAGTGTTGCTTAGTAATAAATTTCAAAATTTGCGCCTTTTAGGAGCAAACTACTACAATTCTAGTACGTTTTGGAGAAAAGATGGCAGTAAGCAACACAGCATTTTTTTTATAAATCGCTAATAATATAATTATTACACTTTCCGATTTTAAAGAAACGCGTAAGTACTGTGAACAATTATTATAAGATTATATAATAATAAATTAACATTATTACAGCCTCTATGAGTTTTTTCATTAGTTATTTTTGGTGGCAAATTGAAAGTGAGCATATCTAAATTTCCTTTTAAATTTAGGCAGAACCAAGAAGTAGTAAAAATACGAAATTGGCAATACTGATGTGACACTCTGCATAACATGCATTTTCGGCATAGCCCGAAAGAGCGTAATTTGCCGTGCCCGAGACACTCTGCATAACATGGCCCATAGTTGAGTATGTGAATGAAAGGTGAAGTATTCACATGTCTAATTTACTACTCTAATAATACCATAATACTATTGAACCAATTCTTGTAGATGAAATAATCGTGTATAAATCTTCGCCTATAACTGACAGGATCAGGACCTGACAAAAATTGCTCTGTCATGGCATTCTGATTTCAACTAGGTTGTCTGCATAATAGTTTTGCATCATAACCAAATAGTAAGGAATGCAAACTGGAGTTATCATCTATCTGACACTTAATTAAAGTTCTATCTACAAATGTGAACTCATACATACAAAGTTCTAAGATAGCTTTAAAAACCACAAGGTTTTTTCGTGAATGCATAGACTTCAATGGTTCATAGAAATACCAGCTGTCAAAAGCTGCAGAGAAAAAGCAGACTTTACGATTGCTAATATGTGTTACTAAAGTCTAAATGAGGACATATGTATGTAAACGATAGGTTCAAAACAATATTAGGTGCTTTCGGTGGCTCGCAAGCATGACAAAAATAGTATACTGGCCTATAGGCGCTAAGCGAGACATTTGCATCACTGCAAGTGAGTTACATTTTGTATATAAATAAATAAAGCTAAAATTAAAATAAATAATGAACTTAAAGCAATGTTAAGAATGCAGGAAATTTTTAAATTTCTTTTTGCAACAAAATTAAAAATAGTTTAGAATATTTATTATTAACAATAAGCATAAGCTTGTTAGCAACTAAAAAGTTTAAAATTTTAAACGGCTTTTCAATTATATTTTCTTCATGTTAGTTAGTTGTGATTGAGGGAGGACCGAATCCTTCTTATTTAGCTAATTGGCCGTTTTAAGTCCACAAATCCTCGTAATAATGAGTAGTAAAGTAAAGATCAAACTAGAATCAGCCAGAGGCATTTATTTAGACAAGAATCTGGCCAATACTAACGCTAGAAATATCGTTGAGTGTGTTGAAGAAATGGGCCACCAGAAAGTTAAGACCAAACGTACTCTTAAAAAATATATACATATATATTTATATAAAATTTAAAATATTTATTTTCCATAATTTTGCATATTTTTAAAATATTTCATTTCCAAAATTTTTAAATTTGTAAAACTTCAATTGTGCTTGAATTTTTGTTTACAATCTTTTGACATTTGACTAGAATATTCGTTAAAATTTCCAATGAAGGTTCCAATAATTTGCTTATTGCGTTGGTAACACTTTTTTCTTTACTGGCCACTTCACAACTAGTTGCTAAGCTAGAGAAAGTAGTGTTGTTGTTTTGGCCAGCAACGTGCTGTTTTTTTTGCCACACTTGCAAGTCATCGAAAGAACCTAGTAACGAAAACTTAATGTTTAGAGCTTCATTTTTTATTACAAATTATTTTGTCCCAGCATTCTAACTAAGTTTACAAAAAGGGACTATTATATAATGGATCAAAAAAATGTTTCGGCAAATAAAGTTACAATCATTTGATCGTAAAATCATTGACCAAACGCAGGTAGCCTGTATGTTCAACTATATTATAGGCTGGTTATTAATATAGATATACAAATTTATTTTTTTTAAAGCTGTCATAATCTTAAAATGTTTCTAAGAAATGTTTTCCCCTCATACAATATGTATATTTGTAGTATCAATATAAAATAAAAAGTAATATTTCAAAAAGTACACATAATCCTTTATATTGAAACTGTTGATAAAAAAATAACATTTTTCTTTAAAATAGTCATTAGCCTTGGATTCATTTTTACTGATTTCTCATATACACAAAACTAGATCACTTGGTAGCATATTACATTTTCTTTGTAACTTTATACCTGGAACTGTTATTCAATAGTTCGGTAAAATTAGTTTTTACGCCGAATGCAATATAGTTTGTAAGGGTATTTTACACTAAAAATTTTTTATTTCCGCACAAATGACATGCTAAGAGACCTTAGAATAGACCCAGTCAAAAAATATATAATAGACAGAGTCATTAAGCTATTCGCGAAAACCGACACGCTGCCTGCCGTGCAGGACGGTACGCAGATCTTAAATCAGGCATCGAAAAAACACGAGGCTTTTGAGAAATTAATTAATTAGTAAGTTAAAAAGGTTAGACTGATACATGCAATCCAAACAAAATTTTTTCTTTTTTTATGCAAACGAAGCAACAACAATGCACATTAAAAACGTTTCCAAAACGTTTTGTTCGACAAACGCTAAAAAAACCACTACCTTAGGAAAATGATCACTAAAAAGACTACTACCTTCGGCAAAAGATAACTGAAATGAGCACTACCTTCGTGAAAAGATCGTTATAAAGAGCACTACCTTCGTGAAAAGAACACAAATTCTAAAAATTGTTGAATTGTTTCGGAATTTTTTTAATGTACTGTTCGTTTAGTGTTTTTTAACAAAGGTGACAAACAGTACACTATGTTTTGTACTTTAGTGTTTGTTTTCGCTCACTGGTTTGTACTGTTTGTGGTGTGTTCATGAACACAATCATTAAAGCAGTACACTACGCCACCATACTGTTTATTTTCATTCACGGATTCTGAATAGTAAATGATTCAGAATCTTTCGTAGATAGATTAAGGATTATGTAATGCTGCAGTTCACAGTCTTTACCATATATATTTTTGCATGACTAGAAGACCATAAATGTCTTCCAAAATCTTTGTTTAGTATAGTATTTACCTTCTAGTTAAATTTTGTATCCAAAGT